CGGTGCTCAGTGAAGTTCATCTCGGAACGTCTTGGGTACCGTTCGAACACAAGCCGTATATCATACACGGCGAACTCCGGTTCTGTCGCCCGCAGGGGCGATGCATCATGCAGGAGGACACTATCTTGTGAAGTGCGGAATCTGACAGAGGATCTGGAAGGTCCGCACTTATCAGACTGTCTGCGTCTGCTAATGTTCGCAACTTAGAATCAGACTTCAGAGTCAGTAGAATGGGCAGGTGGGGCAAGCCGCGTTTCTGAAATCGGGATCCTCCGTGATCCCGGTGTGGTCCCCCACGATCCCGGTGTGGCCCCCACGGTCCCGGTGTGGTCCCCCACGGTCCCAGTGTGGTACTGCGTGATCCTGGTGTGGTCCTCCGTGATCCCGGCGTGGTCCTCCGTGATCCCGGCGTGGTCCTCCGTGATCCCGGTGTGGTCCTCCGTGATCCCGGTGTGGTCCTCCGTGATCCTCCCTGATCCCGGTGTGGTCCCCCACGGTCCCGGTGTGGTCCCCCACGATCCCGGTGTGGCCCCCACGGTCCCGGTGTGGTCCCCCACGGTCCCAGTGTGGTACTGCGTGATCCTGGTGTGGTCCTCCGTGATCCCGGTGAGGTTCCGGGTTCCGGCGTGGTCCTCCGTGATCCCGGTGTGGTCCCTATGACCGCAAAAGTGCCGAAGCAACCGCCCGATGGCGCCCAAAATTTTGTCAGAGATCATCGACATCATCCTCTACAACGTGCAAATTTACCCCCCGTTCTTCTCGTACGCACTTCCCATAGACTTGACATACGTTCAACTGTACGCTCTCTCAAGCACACGTACACGCGTAAAAAAGTACGCCGTACAAATCGTACGAGCGTACAAACCGAATTTCTTGTCTGCCTCACGCAGAAACGAAAGCTGGTCCATGTCTGCTACTCCCGCGCTCTTTGTTTAGGTCTTCTGCTCCGGCAGGATGAGCGCAGGAAGGCGCACTACTAGTAGAGTAGTGGCGGTGCTCTCTGTCACTCAATTCTTTCGTGAGGACTTTGTTTATCGGCCGTACTCCTGTTTATGTATTGTGATTTCGAACGGCGCGCTGTTTACCAAGAAGGAAACCCCCAAAAAGTAGTCAAATGAAAGCTCGAGAAAGATTGTGATCAGAGCTCCAGCGAGCTCTTTCGTATATCGAATGTCCGAAGAGAAGAAGTCCGGGATGTCTGTCGCTGAGGCGCAGGACGACGAGTCGAACCAACTTTATATCGTAGATGATCTCAAAAATGATCCTAAACTCACCCCCATCGAAGGTTCGAATTGAGACAAAAAAAAATGAAATATCGAAATCCGGACGACGCGGAGACAGACGGCTTCGGAATATGGGAATGCCGCAACGGTACGGAAGGAGACTTGCGGATACATACTCAATGCACTTTCTTTCTCTCGACAGCAGGGCCGTCCGGGATCCCGGTGCCTCCCTCTACAAATGACCCGGTCGTTCTTCCCGAGAACAGGAAACGCAAAAGCAGTGAGTAAACAGCAGTGTCACTCGATATGGGAGAGCGGCGTAGTATGCTGTCCCGGGACAATGGAGATAGAATATTGAAATTTATACGGATCTCATATAATTTCGTGAAGGGCTGATTTTCATGAGAAGAGCAGCGTAAGGCCTCTCGGGAGCCCTACCGCGCGGAGATTCTCTACTCCGATGATTTCCCCTCAACAGATAAGTCCAATGATGGTACCTCGCCTTCGAAGAAATCGAAGGGACCAATGACATCGGAAATGGAGGAGGAGATGGCCCAAGCTGAACGCAAAGATATCGACATGTTCCTGGAGGACACAGCGGAGCGTCACAATCTTTCCGTAGCCAATGTCAAGAGCATCTTGAGGGTACGCTAGGTGAAATCATGAATGCGAGAATGGAGAGCACACCTGTCCAAGCCAAATCATGAATCTGAGGATTGCTTGTACGATTCTCCCCCAATTTCCAGAGGATAGCCACGAATGAGCACATGATGACGCTATGGAAGAGCACGATGTCGGAAGACGGAGCCCGAGAGCTGCCATTCGAGCCGAAGATAACTCGAGCAAAACTCCGAGAACTCAAAGCCAAACATCCGAACATCGAGGAATCTCTGCTGCATCGGTAAGTCCGAAACGAGCCGACACCCCGTGACCGGATCCAAGGGGAATCTTTATCCTTAACGCCAGTGGTCCGAATAGGACGTGCCCGATCGACGCGTTCGCGTTGAACCGTTCGAAGGAAGTCTATCTCTGAAGGGCAGCCTCCTACCTGCAGGTATCCGCAACCGTCTCTAAATAGGGGATCAGACCTCGTGAAGTTACTGACCGAGGATTTTGCTGAGGACGACGACGATGAGAACGATGACGAAGAATATCAGCCCAGCGACGAAGAAGTGGTGAGGAAGAATTGTTTTCAGGACAGCGTCTAGACATTTCTCCCACGCTTTCCTCTTCCATTGCTCTTTACCAAGTCAGAGAACCTCCGCGCCTTAAAACGGGAGATGGAACTCGACACGGAGTTTCGATTGAGAAGTAACGAAGTGAACGCTTTCAAATCCGTGAGAGTCCTCGTGTGCCTCTCTGAATCAGTTCTCACTCTGTCAACCAGTAAACCTCCCCGTTGTGCAATGGCAGATTCGAGCGTTTCCTCGGACAGGAAAATCAAATCAGCGAAGCCCAAGGGAGCCGCGAGCGAAACGTCTCACACCGAAACGCCGATACGCGGTCCGATGTGTCCGTACTTTGCTTTTCGCCTGATGGCGATTCTCGTTTGCTCGATCTTTTTTTCTTCTGGTGTCGTCATGCTAATCAACGTGTATCTGGTGGAAAGCAGCGGATTTGAATCAGTCGCAGCGGCGCACGGCATCAACACATTCGTCCTGTCGCTCTGCCTGATCTTCCCCACCTTGATTCTGTTCGTGATCGAAGGTATTTACCGTGCCTCGCACAAACGAGGTCCGGATGACTGGGGTGTGACGATCCCGCAAGGCGCGTCGACGTTTCTATCGGAAACCTCAACCAACGACCAGAACTATAAAAATAAATAATTTTGCTCCGTATGCGAGTTCTCGTCAGGACCCGCCCGGAGGCTGGCTCGCGTTGGTCACTTGGCTACCGGTGTAGCGTCCCGTTGACTCAGCGTTCTCTCAGCTGGCCTCCTTTCCGCCAAGGCCGCGACTTTCCGCGAGGCTGGTCCGTATGGAACTATGTACCTTATACTGCAGACGTAGAAACACGGAATTCAACACAGCCTCGTATTCTATTCAACCCTATACGAGCCGCTTCGTCGAAAGAATTAGATATCGAGTGTCTCTCATTGAACAGAAATATTCGCGACTCGAAGCGATTGAGGAAAAAGATTCCGACGCCGGGAATTGAACCCGGGCCGCCTGGGTGAAAACCAGGAATCCTAGCCACTAGACCACGCCGGATCGTGACTCGAGTTGGGTTTCGCTATGGCTGCACGCCAAACTGCTGAATTATCGGGATGTGTGAGAAAATCAGATGTAACTAGGAGACCCATTTAATTAGGCGGATATTTGATTTCGCAGAGCGATGATGACAGCGAAGCGTCCATGTCGATATTGGGCGGATCGATGCCCAGTTCCCCGGCACTGGGGAGCGCACCCGATAGCCCCGCGCCGCCCACCCCGGAATCTGAGTCTCAAACGGTAAATCTTTTTTTCCTAACGGCTTCGTTGTGTACGAAGAATCAATCACATGCCGTGAAGAATCAAGTCAAGCGTCCAATAGTGAAATTTCATCTGACCATCATTCAAGGAGGAAACGATAGCGTTGAGAACACGCTCGAAACTGCCGCTGACCGCCGAAGCCCTGGAACAGCTCGAAGCGAACTTCGTAGCGCCGGACATCACGGCTGACATGTACGATACGGACTGCGATGATGAGGAATGGAACGAGTTTCTCCGCGACTTCATGAAGCCTACGCGAAACGCAGCTCAGGACGATGAAGACCGAGAAGATGAAGATCCACCGTACAACGTTCTAGAGGATACAGAAGAAGTCGATGAGCTCGACCTCCGTTTCGATCGGGCGACGAAGATCTCGAAAGTGGAAATCGATGAGCTAGTTAATGAGTTGTGGGAAATGCCAGGCGGTCTACAATCTGTCCCCGATGAAACCGACGATGAAGAATTCGGGAATACGTCGAGGATGTGAGTCATCTGGTGATTAGGAGTAAATTCGGTTGCATACCTCAAATACTCCCAGCAAAAGAAACAAATTCCGGTCGAGGTGTTCAAATGGAATCAGAAAATCATCCTTCCATTCCAGACCCACGCCACCATTATTCGAAGAAGGAAGCACCCTCTCGGCTGGTGTGAGTCAGAGACCGAGCTCGACTTCGACACCGACTCGACTGGCGAGCGCCACGGGAGTTGCAGCGATGGCGACTCCGACTTTTTCTGCTCGGAAGGAACTCTCTCTGGGAACTCCATTGACGAACGAGGAAACTCCACTCTCAGTCGCACCCGCCATTGAAATATTGACGACTCCTTTACGTACCGAAAGGACGCCATTAGAACCTCTGACAACTCCGATCAGAATGCCTATGCTGGTCAATGATCTGTCTACGCCTCTCGGAGCCCGAGCCGGGGTCTCGCCGGATGGACCAAGCCCTATATCGTCGTTTTTGAGGAGATTCACTCATACGTCGACAGCTCCGACCGACATGCTCGGATACGCGCTCTCGGTGGCTCTGAACTCGCCGCAGAAAAGCGACTCGCCGATGAAAATTACAAGTACTTACCGTAGATCCATTAATTTCCTTCATCCGATCATAATTAGTCAGACGATCCTTTTGAGTGGCCGAGCAATTCTTTGATTGACCTTTCAGTTCAATCCGAAGCGGGTCCGACACAGCAGATCTACATAGAAAGGAAGTCACCTCCGAGCCTACCCCAGACGGTGGTGACTTCCGCTCTGCCCCAGACCAACCAAGTGACGCCCTTGATCGTACAGCCCCTTGCGTCGCAAGCCTCCACGCCAAACGATGAGACGAAACGTTTAGTAGCGGCGAGTCAACCAGAAACCGAAGTCGCAGTCGACGTCTTCATGAAAAATGGCGTCATGTATCAAACAGCATCCGATTCCAAACCTACACAAGGAGATCCAGCTCAATACGAGATATCACAGGTGCGAGATCCGAAGCTCAGATCCTCATGCAGATACCCCGTCCGATGTTTCGAGTCCCGCTAATTCTATGCGCCGATTGAGATCCGTTTCGTTGCAGGATTTGCTCGATATCATAAGAAATGTAGAAGAGCGTTACAAGTTCGCCGTCCGGAGTCGCCAGACGGACGGCAATTCGAACGAAAAGGGCTTCACCGCAGACTTGATCGAAAGACTCAGGGAACAGGTCAAGGTGGGCAGGAGAACCACGGTCTAAAGTTTTGGGATGCTTCCGCTCTTCGAAATTTTGCGGTTCTAAGAAATGTTTCCGCCGTAGATGTTCGTGCAGGTGGCCACCCAATTATCGATGCTGAGCTACGCGCATCCGCAACTACAGCGTTACGGCCAGCTAAACGAACAATCTTTAGAACATCTCTCGCTTCTGGCGAAAGTCCAGAACAACCCGATTTTCTCCCCATTCAATCTCGCGCCGGGTTTGGCCATGATCGACAAAGTCAAGAGTCAGCTGGATGCGAACGGAGTTCATCCCGAATAGTGAGTAACGGAGCCGAAACCGGCCGATTCAACGATTCATCGATTAGTCGAGTCTAATGATATTCCGAGAGCGCCCATTGACTCTGCTACTCCTATTGCAGCGAGAAACTCGAGAATCCCGAGCCGTCCGAGCTGGAGAGACGGAAGAAGAGCGTGATCTTGAATCCGATTCTACCATCTTTGAAGAAGATGATCGCTTGGTCGAATGTTTTTTGCTTCCCGGAGCTCCTCCCCAAAGCTCAATTGATAACCGAGTTCGAAGATCGGAGCCTCAAATCGTCCTCTAGCAAGCCGGAAGAGCAGTGAGTCCAATCTGAAGCTCTCCCAGCGACATGAATCCTTTGAGCGGTTCGCGTTCCCCTCCCTTTCTGACACAGGACTACGTGTAGATTACATACATGACGTGAGAGAGTTCTTTTCAGTCTGATGGCTTTGGGATTGGAAGCGTTCTATCCCGAAATTGTCCATCGCTGTCCAGCTCGCATTACCCAACTCATACACGTTCACTACACGCCTCTGAAACGACCAGCGCAGGTGGGATTTTCGGCTCGAGGTTTCAACCCGAGAATTTTCTTCAGCGAGAGAGTTTAGGATTCGGAAGGCATAGGAGAATTCGAGAGTAGGTCTCTGCCTCGATATTTCGAACCAAATATTTCTAACGAATGGAATCTCATCACCCCCATGTGACAGATCGGCGAACGCATCAGACGACTGCTCGATGCGAATTGTGAGCCGTCAGCCAATCCGGTCGCGTACTTTCGAGTTTACCGGAGGTGTCCGCCCGTCGAGTGGAAACCGAGAAGGCTAATGCTCACTCCCGTCGAGCATCCGCCGTATTCAGTACCCTCGTGGGTCAGAGCGATAAAGCAAGGGAAGAATAGCAAGGTGCGTTTTACTTCATCGATACACTGATAATACCAAACTTAATAATTCAGACGCTGAGATAATACGCTTGTCTGCCGGCACCGACAGAATACATCACGGGAATACTTGGGCTCAATCAATGAATCGATCGATCAGAATGTGACTTTCCTCCTTTCCCCGAATACTACACGGAAGAGAAATGAATCATCCTGTCAACTCTGTGGAGTTCAGTTCAACGATTTTCACTCCACAGGAGACGATCGACCAGCTGCGACGGTTACATCTGCAGCCGATCCTGCCGGCACTCCATGCGTCTCCTGAAAAATCACAATCTACTTCAGTGACGGTCTCGACGTCGCCACAACAGCAACAGCTGAGAGACAGCCCGTCTCCATCTCGGCTCCGACCGTCGCCAGTCAAACAAATAATTCAACCGATTCTGAAAAAGTACAAGCTCCTGCCGAAACCCAACGCCATATCGATGAGCAGCGGTGTCAATCGGGTGAGTAGGGATGGGAGGAATTCTCGAATTTTTCTCGCTTCCGGCGATTCTCGAAAAGATGACTCTGTGAGCTGCGAACGGTGAGATGACCAAATGTGAATCATTCGATAGCCGGCCCTGAGCTCGACACCCCTGTCCAAGTCGAGAAAAGAGGCGCTCCTCCGATTGATACAAAAGGAAAAGGAGATGCCTGAGGTCATCTCGACTTCGAATTCATTTCCCGAAGCTAGTCCAGTTCCGAGCTTCGAAACTCCTCAAGTAAGTCCTGCTTCCGATTAATCTTGAACGTGAAGCATCTCGACGGGCTTCGGGCCTCAAACAAAAGCGTCGGATCGAAATGAGACTTTCGTATTTCTAGAGTCCAACGTCGACCACTGAGGATCAGTCAATGGTCATGGAAACGTCACCTAAGGTGGATCATGCGGCGACTCCTGGGAAGCCGCTCACAACGCTCACAGAGAAAACGGCTTGTATTGACGGAATACCCGAGAAGAATGAATCAGATAATAACGCAGCCGAAGTTCAGGAACAGCTCGACGCACTTATGGCGGCATCCAGTAAGATAACTAAGAATCCAAAATGTCCGAGAAAGCACCGTCAGCTTCTGAAGGTATGTTCGGCCCGACAGCGATACCTTAATCAGTCGATGAACATTGAGACGGTCGAATCCCTCTCGGAAAGGAAATGAGTTGCGAAACTCCTCGTTTTCAGGACCTGGAGAGCACGTTACCTCTCCTGGATAGCCAGCAACTCCATGTCGATGATTCCCGTGAAGATCAATTTGTCGCCAATTTTGTGACAAAAGCCAAAAAATTCATCGATCAGGAGAAGATCCTCGAAATGATCTCCATTATCAAGTCCTACAGAGATAATTTAAAACAGGTAATGTGAATCTCGGCTCTGCGATTTTTCATCACTGGATAAAACCAAGGAACATGCACTCATGTCTTGTTATCATGGATCCGGTGATCCATGTTCAACTTCTCATAGCAAACTTTCCCCAGTGGGCCCCCGGAGTCCGCAATGACGAGCCTATTCTGTAGTCTATGTATAATTCCACTCGATGCGTTCTGTTCTGCTCTGGTTCCCATTCGCATATAGATACGGTCCTCAAGCGTCCCCATATGTAGGTGTCCGAATCTTCTCCAATCCCTTGTGTTGCGCTTTCCAGATGTTCAAGAAGCTGGACGAGTCCTTGGCTACCTGCCCCGCTCTGGTGGAGGATCTCGTCCTATTCCTCGATTCCGAACAGGCATTCCTCGCCGATCGATTTCAACAGCATTTATTGTTTGCCAAGATGCGTCTGTTCGTCCGCAAGTCAGAAATCCATTCCGGATCACCTCAACTAGCTCAAAAAATTCTCAAAGTTCTCCGGAACTGCCTTAAGACTAACGCACAAGTACAAGACGATAACCAGATCGCGTCGAACGTCGTGAGCGCAATTACCCCCATTCTCCGAGGTCAACCCCATCTACTGCAGGAGTTCCTTGCCATGTTCCCCAACCAAAGAGTCGAAGGAAGGTAAGACTTCAACGAGTAGGAAACTCCTACGCCTTTCTCGGATTTAGAGAGCCCTTCTGAAGGATCGAGTACGATTCTCGATTCCTCCGAACTTGCGACCGTCTTATATCCCGTATCCTAAGCACGAAATATCAATTCCTCCGCTTTAGTCGCATGACGGACTTCGACGAAATTGTGCTGCCTGACGACGGGCCCAACGATGAAGGAAACGGTGAAGTTTTCGATGCAATCAAGCTACCGCCTTCACCGGAGCCAGTGGGGAGCAGGAAGTGTCCCTGCGAGTGCCACAAAAGCGAGGACTCAAAAATGGCGAATAGAGATCGTCATTGCATGAGATGCGCCTTGAGGGTGAGTATATGAGCTTCCGATCCCCTCAATTCTCACAAGGAACCTGAGAAAGTAGCTCCTCGGGAATTTACTCACTCATTAATTATGAATCTTCATTGGGATCCAGTTCATCGACGGGAAGGTTTTTCTGCAAACCGGGAAAACCACACGACCCGCAACCGTGACCTACGTGGCAGACGTTGTCGAGACTGAGGTAGAGAAACCCCTGGGAAGAGCGGCAAGTCCTCAGATCGAAATCCAAGCCGCTGAAGAAGCCGCGAAAATTCCAGAAGAAGAGACGCCACCACCGGATTCCGCCCCGGAGGGTTTCTGGACAAGGTTGGGATCTCTAAAACCGGTTCCGACGCGGTTATGTCGAGCCCTACACTCATAAACAAAACATGCACGATGTCAACTAGAGCTCTCCGATTATTTCAGGGATCGGGACGCTTTGCTGCTGTCGATGTGGCAGACTCACAACGGGAATGTTGACAGCAGCTGCGAAGAAGCGGCTAATGAATTGAAAATTGACAAGAAACTCGCCTCGGAGCGTCTGGATTTCCTGAAATCGTTTCTCTAACACGGGCACTATTTATGCTGAGTATTGATTACGCGAGCTTCAATGCCCCCTCCTGTTTTTGTCAGGAGCGCCCTATCGTAGTAGGAGTCAAAGGTACTGTCTCAAATGTTACTGTGTGAAATTGTGAGGAAATGTGGCCCTTTCGATGAGGAGGCCGTGAAACTTCATGGGAATCAAGGGAAATCCCGCTCAGACTCATCGAGCATCGAAAACATCAGCGGGAACAGCGAAACGGATTTCTCCGCAATTTGGATATCTGTATATATTTTTTTGATATGCTCCATCCTCTCCTCGAGACCTGAGGGAAGAATTAGGAGGCGATAGCTGATGAGAGTACTTAAGAAGAGCTGATGTACATATATGTATATTTCTGACGGACGAGAATAAAGATATTCAGCTCGACATCGCGAATTTCTCTTTCTGTTTATTCAGTCTATCAGAAAGCATCGACCCGTTTCGGCATATGCTTCTCTAGGAGCCCGATTTTCCCTATGTACTTTCAAGGAGGCGGAGTGCGGACTGGTTCGGAAAACCCCTGCGTGACCGAATTCCCAATCTTCTTAGTTTCGTAGGGAGCCAGGTGGCAGGATCTCGGAGACACCCAACATCGGGTTGTTTCGATTCCCTCCATACGATGCTTCGCGTGCCTACTGTGAGGCCCGCCCAATTCACGTTTCGTCTGAGATTCGTTTTTCGACCTTCCAACGCTTCCCGTATTCTCTGTTCTACTCCCTCTCAAATATTGTTTTTCAGTGCCTGGTCGAGCTAGGATGTATTTATGCGTGTAGTTATTGTCAGGGAATTCTGGTGACCCAATCTTCAAGTTCTATTCAAGCGATTTATATACACTGTTTCAAACGGAAACATCGTTGTCAGTGGCGTATCCGCATGTTCCACGTTGATTTCCCGTCTAGTTAAGCGACCGTGGTGAACGGAAACGCTTGATCTAACCGCATCAAACTCGTTCGGAAAGTCTCGCGCATCGTCACGAATAATGCATCCGAAGATCTGTCAGAAGTTCAATAGAGAATCGAGAAGATGTAAACTGGAAATTATAGCTGAAACTCGAGACCATGATCAGGTGTAGTCGTCGACTCATTACCGCACTCACACAGGCGATGGAGCATTATGAACGTTCAGTATGGTACATTCGATGGAGAAATGTCAATTCGTACGGGTATCGGATATATCGCATGTGTATATAAATATATGTGTGTATGTATCAAAGGACTAAATCTTGCGGCGTGATCTTAACGTAGTATAGAGCTCTCAGCTCAAGTTCGGGCCCATGTGAGAATGTGAGAATGTTCTATGAGAGCGAGAACTGAATGCTCTCCCTCGGCTTGAGGGCAGAAGCGCTAGTCCACCGCGAATCTAAGCTCGCAAGAAATCAGAAACACTGGATATTGCAAAACAGAAAAATTTATTTCTAATGAAGAGGAAATCATTCATAACAGCTAGGAAACTGAATCGGTTGCAGGAAGGTCCCATCGTCCACAAAGAGAGAGCGAACACGAAAAAAAAAACATAAGAAAAGAAAATGTGAAGTTTGATAGGCATCGAAGGGATACCCTCCCTCGCAACCACAAAAAAAGAATAGCACCAGTATCAGACTAACTAACTTAAGAAATTATTACACAAAATGATGGATTCATGAACTGGTGAAGAATGGATAGAAGAAAGTAGGAGATGAGGCTGCACGAAATCGGATGGAAAGATTTGCGAAGAACGGGCTGGGAGTCCCGTGGAAAGATGTGTTCTGATGGTGTGCAAGCTGAAGATCATTTATACTATGAATTATGTTAAAAACTGTCTTTGTGACCTGAAGCGACTTGATCTCCTAGCTCCTACTGACGTCTAACCACATTAAATATGCACGACTATCTCGTGTTGTATCAAAAAGTCGTGTTGTATCCACTTCCAGCTGAGAATCGCTCCCGGAAGCCCTTCCCAGTTGGAAGACTAGAGGTCGCTGAAATGACCCTTATAGTACAAGCTATTGCTACCTAATTCAAGTCTCGAGCGGTTCGACTTGCTGATGTTTCGCCTCTGGAGGCGGTTTGATAGGAATCGCGGCCTTCCTACGGGGCTGCGATTGCTGTTGATGGGGCATGTACATCTGCTGAGTAGCAGAATAGTACGTGATCCCTCCGGGAGCCCCGTTGTTCCCGGGCGCGGGTGCGTACACCTCGGCCACGGGTCCCTCGGGACTTATCATGTAGGGGTGCGCCGCTGGGGCCGGGGGAGCGATATACGCCGTGGGGTGATTCATGAACGGGTTGGGCTGGATGAAGTTCTGGGGCGGCCCCGCAGCCCCGTCGAACTGCGGAACGAAATAGGGCGCCGGAGCGGGTGGGAGCTCGTAATAAGCCTGCTGTTGAGATACGTGCGCCTGTGGTATTGCTTGTTGCGGAGCGTGCGATTGCCGAGGAGGTGCCGGCAGCGCATGATGGCCCGCTGGCTGCGGTTGCGCTCCTTGAGGTGCATTTGGTTGAGCTTGGGCTGGAGGAACGGCGCCTTGGGCCGCCTCTCCCCTGGCCGCAGCCCGCTGCTGAGTATACCGTTTGCTTTCGACGGTGTTCCCATCTGGAAGGAGGGAAGGGGTGACCTTAGCACTCGGCTCGATCGGAGAGGCAACGAAAATTTCCCGTGATCACCGAAGAAATCCGTAATTTGTTAATCCATTGATCATCGAATAAAAGACCCTTCGCGACTTACTCTGCTGGGGAGCGTGCTGTCTCTTCTCGTCGGACGGACGCCGCTGCTCTACGAATTCCCCGTTTCTGGGCTCGACGGGCTTCCTGCTGTTGCGAGGCTCTTGCGTCCTCCCTGAACCGATCTTGCGGTCCTGCCGCATGATGATCTCTCGGCCACCGTCGCGGTTGTCCCGCCCTCCTTCGCGAACGTCTCCCCGTCCAGCGTCTCGGGAATCGTTCCTCCCAGACTCTCGGACATCCCCTCTACCAGAGTCGCGGGGATCTCTTCCGGAATCGCGATTATCTCGATAGGAATTATCTCGATTGTCTCGTTCACGATTGTCCCTCCAATTCTCGCGGTGGGAGTTCTCTCTGTGGAAGTTTTCCCGATGGCCGTTATCTCGGAAATCGCGGTGATCAGCTCCTCTTGGACGTCCGCCGCCGCCATTATCTCTGTGGCCGTGATCTCGGTGTCCACCGTTGTCGCCTCCTGTCCAGCCATCGTTCCGTGGGGGCTTCCTATTGTCGAAGCGCGGGTTTTCGTGACGGTTCGCTTCGAGCTTGTTGCGCAAATCTGAAGAACGAGCAGATTAGTTCCCGTTCGTTGGGAGAGGGGAATCCGGGAAGTAAACAAGCGGTCACAGGAGATGAACAGAAAAACGAACGAGGGAATGAAAAAGAAAATAAATTTTGTGCTCAGAGGCGCGTATTTCGCATGCGGACGGTGGTCGCGTGCGGACGCTCGAGAACTTTGTGCCCTTTTATGGAGGGAGAGCTCAAATGAATAGGGACTAGCGCAAAAAGCGTTGAAAGAAACTCGACGGCAGCATGGTGCACTCAGAGCTAGCGGCTACGCTCGACCTCGAACAAATTCGTGACTACGTTTCCGTAGCGCAAGACCGAGGAGCTCATCAGATGCAGAGCGGTCCCCATGCGCATCGCAAGCATGCGGAAACGGTGATCGAGGAAATGGCCAGTGCATTGAGGCACATACCGTAACCTCCAGATCCCCGATGGTCGCCGAAACGACCCGAACCTTCTCTGCGCCAGCGGAGTTCTCGCTCGCCGCAGCCAATCAGTCTGCGTCCGGGATCTCTGTTCTCGGTCGCCTCCATCCGCCATTTCTCGTGCCCTGCACCTCGACGCCCAGTGTCGACTTCTGGCACGAAGTCTCTTCTGGGCGGGCCAGCACCCCCCCGGAGAGCGTTATCGAAGCGTGGGTTATCGTTACGCGGAGGCGGAGCTGGCCCGGCGCCGAAGTTCTGAGCTGGGTGAGGTGCGGGCAGAAGAGGCTGAGGATTCGGGTGATTCCAAGCAGACGGATGAGTCGTGATTAGATAACTCGGTCCCGTAACGTCAGCTGCGTCCGCGAGCAGACGAATAGCGCAAAGGTGGATGTTGTTAGTACCCCACGGCAACAATTAGTCAGTATCGGCAGTTATCGAAGAGGAAGAGAGAGAGAGAGAAATCGTTCAGGGAGGAGACAACTACGTATTTCCCGTCAGAATTTTTGAAACATCGATTCCTCGAGAATTAAAGTTAGTTCGTGAGAGATCGACGTCGATCAAGGGATTTCGAGAATGTGTCCAGTCTCACCTCTTCTATCCTTCCGAACGTTGTCCCGGCCCTGGTCTGAGCGACGTGGGTCTTTAGTCTCCGGTCTTTCACTCCTCTCCGGACGTTCGCCGCGGTCGCTTTGTCGGCGATTTTCTCTCGGGTGCTGTTCCGGTCTGTCGTCTCTCGGCTGTTGATGCTCCTTCGACTCTTTGAGGTTTTGCTGGTCGCGCGGTCTTTGTGCCGACGGCAAACAAGGGAAATCATCCCTTCGCGGGTGGAATTCTTTTTCTCGGCGCTCCTGGGCGTTGTGGGTCTTACCGTGGTATGCCTTCTCGTCCTGCCAATCTCGTGTGTACTTATTGGGACCACGGCCGTACCTACGCCGCCTAGCAGCTCGCGGTGCTGATGACTCGTCGCGAATGTCGTAGCCGTACTGTTGGACGAGTTCGTCGCTACTTTTAGGGCCTTGTTCGTTCGGGTCGAACATGTCGTGGTCCCAGCGGTCCTTCGTTTCGCTTTGGAGAACTCGCTGGGCACGACGGTGTTCAGGACTGTCCTTGGAGCCGCCAGCCGCTTCTGACTCCTCGGTCTCCTTGTCCTTGTTGGCCTCTTCTTCAGCAGCTTCGTCTTCGTCGTCTGTTCCGCGACGGTCATCATGCTCGTAGAAAGCACCCTTCTTCGGGATATATTGTGGATTACTCTTGTCCTCATCGAAGTCTAGGTTAGCGTCTTCGTCCGAGACGGCCTCGCCTTTTTTCGACAGGGGAGCTCCATGCTCCCTATCGAAAGACGAGGCTCCCTCATCTTCTTCCTCTTCGTCCGACCAATCCTCTTCTGCTGAATCAGAAAAAATTATGCCGTTAATGGAACTCTTCCCGGAACAAATTGAGCGGGGCGAAGCAGTCGACTCATCGATCGAGGGGGGAATATTTTCATTCATTCCATTCGATCTCTTCTGGAAAACTCACCATCGCCTGGCCGTTCGACGGCAACTCCATCGACGTTCCTCGCTTGTGTTTCACTAAGCGACGAATCCCCGGCTGCCCGAGTTTCCTGCAGAGGGTCTTGACTGTCTTCGTCGAGCAAATGGGAATCTGCCTCTTGGATTCCGGAATCCTCTGCGCTCGGTTTCTCTTGGACTTCGGCCTGCGCGGCACCAGCCTCTTCCGGAGATTCTGCAGCCCCCTCCAGAGTTCCTGCAGCCGCCGGAGCTGGTGTCGCGGCAGCAGGTCCTGACGATCGTTCTTGCGTCTCTGGCAGGGCCGACGCAGCCTCCACGGTCGAATCCTTGACGGTTTCTTCCGAGCAGGGCGCTTCGACTCCGGAAGATTGTGCAACGGAGTCCTCAGATTGCGATGGCCCAGCAGCGGCTTCTGCCTCCAGAGGGGTCTCTGACGGGGCAGCTGCGGTCGGTTCGACAGAACTTTCGACGGCGATCTCGTCATGTTCGACAGCTGCTGTCGGCTCGACCGGGAGTTGCGCAGATGGATCACTGGCTCCGTGATCCGGAGAACCTCCGGAAACTACGTCGGCGTGATCAGCTGCGAGTGCGGGTGTTCCATCTAGTGCAAGTGCGGGTTTTTCCTCTTCTTCCACGGGTGCTTTGTCGTCGACGGGAGTCTCCGCGGGAAGGTCAGAGGGAGCATTTCCGACATGCTCGGTCGGACTCCTCGCCGCTGATGCTGAAGATCCCGGTGCTTCGGCTGTCGAGGGAGAAGCTTCTGCGGTTTCCGCGGATTTCTCCTCTTCAGTCGCCTTCTCGACGATCGGAGTCGAAGCCGCCGGTGATTCTTTTTCACTCTCGACCACGACATCTTCTCCTGTGCTCCTCTGTTCCTGACTGGGACTAGCAGGAGCCGATGACGAGGGCTTCTCTTGAACTCCTTCTTCCCGTGAAGACGACGGCGTGGGATCTGGGACCAGACGTTCTGACGAACCTCCCTCGTTCAGCGGAGCCTTCGGATCTTGATTTGCATCCGGGGAATCGCTTTCAGGCTTCGCGACACCGACAGGCGTTGCGGCCGCGAGCGTCTCGGGTGACTTATCCGCCATGTCGGAATCCTTCTCGCTTGATTCTATGGAAGCGCTTCTCGAAGGTGAAGACTCGGAGGATGATATTTCCGAGGGTGTATCACTCTCTTGAGCCTCGCTTTTCGGAGCTTCGGTAGGGGTAGGTTTCTCGAGTTCCGCCCGAACGAGGTTGGGTTTCGGTTCGTCTTTCTTCTCCGTGGTGTCCGCCGCGGGCGTCTGTAAAACGATCGAAACTCAGATGGATGCATGATGACACCGAGACTAAGTCAGGCAGTGGAAAGATACGATAATCATCAATGGAAAGCGGCGATTCGAAATCAGAGAGATTATTGGCTAGCAATCCGATTGAAAGAGAAATCATGTCGCGCCTGAATGTGCTGTTCACAACGATATATTGTGAGCGATGGAAAGCTTGTGCATCTACTCTCCAAATCGACACCAGGAATGCACACATTTGATCAGGAGGGCGGAGAGGTCAAACAAAATCCAACACTAACATGCCGGGGAATACAGTCGACAATTACAAAAAGGATGGCACAGAAACAAGCGTAGAGCAGGAACTTGAGCCTTGCAGACGACTGCTCTGCTCGATATTATTGGATACTGCATCGAGTTTACCCAAGGAATGTGCCGCGAGAATAAACGGCGACCGCCGAATGATCGAATGAGTGAGACTGGACTCATTAAATCTAGAAGACGGTCAACACTGTTCGATGACACTCGGAATTCGCCCCATCTGGATGGGGACGAATTCAGAGTCGAAAAAACTAGTGTTCGATGCACATGGCCCCAGTCGCCGGACTACGTAATTCGAAAGAGAATCAGGTTCTCGGCGAGTAACTGGAGAACGGAATTCCACAGCACAACTATCAGGAGCCGAATGGACCGGGACCATCGCCAACGTGATCACCGCCGACACCAAACATGGCCTGGTGTACGAAAGCCGGGTTCGCCGGGGTGGGGATGCGCTTCCCGACGAGTTTTCCGCTATGATCTCGGGGAACGAAGCAATCTAAAGGAATTGAGCGACATCAACATGCATCGGAGAAAATGCACTCCGACAGAGGTTAATAGTCGTCAAAAGCATAGGGTGCGGCGGTATATTCAGAACGAGCGGACAAACGTGCATTTGAAGCATGGCAGAGTAGCGTTAGGATCAGATCGGAAGAGAGTTGTATATAGAGCCGGAGACGTGCAGGATGGGTAAGCTGTACCTTGCGGACGAAGGAGGACATTTTTGTAAAGAAGCTCATAATGGATTCTGTTGTGTGGACAGTATCCTCTGAAGATCGTTTTTCGTAGAACTTCAGACGGTCGTGTGTGGGTAGACAGAGAGCTAGCCGAGGAGAGATTCACAGAGGCCTCAGTTGCCTTGTTTTCGGTCGCAGATCGATTTCGCGGTTATTCAATACCGCCAGAAACCTATAGCTTTACTGCGTGTTCCTTTTCTCCCGGCCAGTTGCTCACTCTTGGAGCAGCGGCTCTTGAAGCGAATGACCGAGAACCCGAAACACACGCACACGCACTCCGAAACCGATAATCACGAGGAGCCAGCGATGCGCATACTTTACTTTTGACAATTTAGCGTCAGGGCCCAACTCGTCTGAACTCTAGCACTCCACGGCGACGTTGTCGATCGCTGCCATCTTAGTCAGTAGTCGTCGTCGCCGAGAGGAGAGACACAACACAAACCACACCATCGACGACGGCCCAAACACACCACACACACCACCAACACAGCGAGCGGTTGTGTGTCGCTTCAGAGCCTGTGGTGCGGCTTCTTCGTCATTTGACCGCGGAGCAAGATGGCGGAGCGAGATATTCGTCTGCTAGAGGAGCGGGGCGACGGCAGCGCCCCCAGCGCGAACAAGCCAAGACCCAAATCGAGAATTTCCCTAATTCCCGCGGCGGAAAATCGCTCCGCTGGAAATATGAAATCGCGGTCCCTCAAAGAGCTCCTTCGGCGAAATACCGCGAAGCGCAACCCTGGAGGCGCGGAATCGCGAGTCCCCGCTAATTCTCGCTGATGACTGGGAGCTCGCTGGAGAACGATATTCCGACGCAGATCAGCGCAGCGATGTCCATGCTCCCTCCTTCGTACGATACCAGTACTTTCCGAAGTGAGCCAAACGCCCTCCCCCTTACCGAGAGCCAAACCGATCCCGACGTCCATCGGATACTGTGGAAGGGGCCACGAAGGTTCACGGATGTCACGCTAAAGGCTCATAGGGGGTAGACGGGCCAGCGAAATTCGGGTAGCATTGGTCTAACATACTCGGGGATTGATGCTGGTTTCTAAATCGTTTCCCGATTTCTAAGTTGCGGTACTCGGCGACTGATCCCTCCGCTTGCTCCTCGCCCTGTCATTTCTCCTCCTGATTTCCGACCAATCTGTCTGTGTTTCCAGACTCCTCTCTTTCTCGATTCGTTCCCGGGCCAGGTGGTTATCCATCGACTGCCCCGCCTCTACGGGCTCACACTCAACTCCTTCTGCACTCTTGTCCTCGACTTCTCCGAAGCTCCACCGTGAGCCAAGCTCGATCACTAACCTGAATAGCTGAGTAGCAGATGATATCACTCTATGACTAGATGACCGCGAAAGATCAACTGAAACGTCGTCGACTGAGATGTCCGAGTCTTCATATACGCTCACAGTCGCTTCGGATGCGGGGGTTTGCTTTTCAAGTTTGGGAAAGCGAGAACTAGGTGGCGAGTCCTCGATCACATCCTTGCCCTCGTAGTCCTGGACTCTCTTCGCACCCCACATCTCAGAGATCGGAATTTCGGAATCGTACTTCGTAACCGCGCGAAGTGGTCTGTTTCTAAGAATTCTGCGGATGGGGTTCCTAGAAGCGACCTCAATGTCTGATCATCGCTTGTGATCCTCCCATGTGCTGATCGCGAGTCCGGAAGGTCTGATTATTGCCTGCGCCTGGGGCTGCAAAACATAGTTCTCGCCCTCCGCAAGCAGCTGCTCTACCAAGCTTTCTTTCAATTTGGGCTTGATAGTCTCGCAGGAACCAGAGAGATGCCCCCAGATGTCGAATAGATTCGTACAATTCACATTTCGTTCTCCTCGGATCTCCGATCCCAGCACTCGGGATTACAGCCGAGTCTCCTTTCTTAGGAGCTTGAAACCCGAGGCGCCGCGTTAAAAAATTATTAGGAATGCCGGAGTGTACGAATTCTATCGAAAAATCGATTCTCACGAATCAGCCACGGAGATTCCTCAGGCCATGAGAATTTCTCTGGGGTCTGCGTCATGGAGTCAGGTCACACTTGCGTCAAACGAGGATAGGATACGATCATTCGTCACGTTATTTTTTGGCTTGTTTCTGATAACTTGCTCCGGAGAGGAGCGTGGAGCGAGGAGATCTAATGATCAGGCGTATTCTTCGTGGCAAAATCGCTCGGAGTCAAGCAGAGTCGACACGCGCAATTGAACGCTCTGGCGATCCCGCCCGGGTCGACTGCATGAAATTCGCACCCATGGCCGCGATTGGAGTTCCTCAGAAGCTCTATAGAATTGCTGAGGACGATTCAGTCATTGCGAATTACTTCCTTCGACCGCTCTCCTCCGTCTTAGCCGGTCGCGAATCAGACTCAGCGCTCAAGCCTCATGGCTGTCTGGAAATGTCGAAACAATTGCCGGGATACTCTTTCGAGCGCCGCAAGAGAAGTTACGATGGATCGCTCAGTAGTTCATCGACTAATTTTCTCAGTTTCAATAAAGAAACTTCCGCGCGAGGGTGGTTCGTCCAGCTTGCGGTTTTCTGAAATGGACCTCGTCGCAAAGCTGCTCGTCGGTCTTCCAGTTCAGCAACCACGGTGGGAACTCATCGCCCGGATCACTTACGGGAATGTCAGCGGGATTCAACATTGTCTACAGCCCCTCAGTATTCTGCATTCCGATTCTGCAAGTTGCCGGAACACGCCTGTCTCAACGCATACGCAGGTAGCGTTTCGCCGCGGTGCTGCAGAATCGGAATACAGTAGTAGAACTCCGATTCAATCAAGCTCTCGAAGGAGATTCCATCGAATCGGGAGCTTTTCGTTTGGATGTTTATGTTCTGATTGGGGGGCATGTGCCGATGGATGGGCATATCCTGAACCCTTACGAGAACTGTAGAGCGGTCGAAATTCCTCGCGACGAATCAGAAGTCGTCGAATAGGCTGCATATCTGAAATTGAGCTGCCGATTGTTTCCCCAAGACAGCCTCCGACCCAGGTTTTTTTACAGCGTAGGCTCTGGTCTTCACCACTCCATGTATTCGGGACATGCTCTTCCTGAGGGATACCCTACGGAAGGGTTCGAAACTTGACGGGCTCTCCAGTCAGGACTACGGTAACCATTATTCAGTACCTATTATTACGCTTCAAACCGCACTTCCTCATGATATCCGGAGTTTTATTGGATCAGAGTGACACGAATCTGATTTCGAGTCAGCTTCCAGAGAGCCGAGGAGATCAGTGATTACAGTATCAAGATGCACGATTGTTGAACGACGCGTACTCTCATCTAGGCGACATAGTGAACTGGCAGAGAAAATAATCCTCGGCGATCGCGATTCGGAATGACCAAGACGGAGCCGCGGATTTCTTGGTGATCCCTCGAAGCTTCAACGAGCATCAGTCTGGGATTTATTTCGGTAAATGGCTCATCGCGGGAATACTGAGGGATGGCGTCGAGGAATGAAATGCTCACTCGACGGTAGCCGGGGCGCTAAGAAACCGGCAGAATCGATGGTTTAAGTGAGTCGCGGCTTCGTCGAGAAACAGCGGGTCCTTCACGAATAATCACAAGCACACGGCAGCAGATTGGAATTGCGATGATAGAGTGGAGCATGCGCGTAGTTTCCCGTCGCTAATCGCAGAAGCTCTTGGATTCGGAGAATCGGCGACATCGGCGAGGGATAGAGGCTTCCTTAGACGCTCGGTGGAGCAGCCCTGATATGACGAACCTGCAGCGGATACATTTTATGAAAACGTCGGATTACGAAGAGATTCCGGCACTCCCAGCGAACTTGAGGGTTCTCGCCCCTCCCCACAAGCATTGGTTAGTCATGAGAAATTCTCGGTTTTTCATCGTTGCGACTCTATCCAATTCATCCGAAATCGACTTCCGTCTGCACGATGCGCAAATCGATTTCGACATCCTGCTGCGCTCCACAAAATAGGCTGATGAAGGTACCTGAGTTAAAACCATGGTTTCCATTTCCATCATCCGCTGATCGCTGAAACCGCTTCTTTTCAGATGAGGCTGGAACGTGAGAACATGGTCTGACTGAGACGGTCCTCGATGGGCAGGAGTTAGGTAGTAACGACTGAAAACAATCCCAACAGATAAATCACTCGGGGTTTTAGCGCTGGCAAAATTCAATTCGGATTCTGAGTCCAAAGCACAACCTAAGTCTGTTGGCTGGTTAGTGCGCCCCGCTAGAGTGGAGCAACGGATGAAGGGAGGACAGATAGCCCGGTGCAGCGATTCTGAATTCTGAACTGAAGAAGAAACTTACTTTTCGGAGAAGGCGGAAGCAGATACAGATTACAGGAGAGAGATAGATCCCAGATGCGAGTGAAGGTCAGCAGGGGTTTAGTGAGGTGTGAGAAAGTCATTCTGACCCGAGCGAAGGTCACGGAATGTTCGTCCATTCGAGCATTCGCTCTCCCTGCTCATGTGCTCGGTCAGTCCGGCCCGAATGAGGGTGATTTTTTTCCTCCATTTTCAGCATTCCTGAACATTCCGAACTAGCCGAGTCGCGCGAAATATTAGAAGGGGTCGAGGCGGACGATCAAGAGCAGCCATGGAAAACCCCAGCCCTGCTGTGGGGAATTAGATCGCGGATCATATTTCCCAAGAGGAGTGAACTTGGGAGTTGTTCGCCGAGCTACCTCCAAGCTAAAATATAGCCTCGACCCTACAGGTTTTCATTCCCCTGGATATTCAGGAGTCTCAGAATTCGTTCACCAAGCAAGTGTGCGTCTGTCTTCGGCTAGATCTCAGAGGAGCTCTATGGGAGTTCCCGAATGACCGAGGACCTTCCCAGACGGATACTGCAGCGGTTCGCTTTAAGGAGAGAGCTTATGATCAGTCGCGGGACAATAATGCTGCCGATTTCAAGGATGGTTCTGATGAGGACACTTCTCGATCGGGGGTAGTTTCCGACGACCCAAGCTCATTCTACAAGATGAGATTCGAAGGGGGAGCTCGAGGCCTAAGAGGGAAGAGCTCGAGTTCCAGAAGGGAAGAACTCGAGTCCAAGAAGGGAAGAGACAGATCAAGTGATCCAAGAGTCGGGGAGGGCGACAAAGGAGAAAAGAAGGAAGACCAAGAGAGTCCCATGCACTCGGGCGAAAGAGAGATTATCGCCGAAGTTTTATTATATCTGGGTGAAGACCATTCTTTGCTTCGTCCGCAGCATATATTTCCATCATCCTTATCTATGCTTTTCTGTAATATTGAATAGTATACGCTCCTTCGAAGAGTAGACGGTTGCACGAACCCTTCGAATGATCCCCGCGCTATCGGACGAATTCTATCGTAGATCTTATGAGTCAGAGTATGGATCGGGGGTTGAGGGCACGGAGTTCCTATCAATTCTCTCAGCGTGAGTAGAATGATTCCGCTCGTCTCGGGTTTCGGACTTCTTCTGCTTTCACACTATTCGTGAGAATTGTTCTCAAGCAGGGGATGGACTCGGACCAGTTTATCGGGAGCTTCAGGAAAATACTGCCGTGCCCCAATAAAGAACGAGCTTTTCGTTGTCGGAATGCTTATCTGTTTGTGTGTGTGTTTAATCTCTTCTCTGTTCTCCTCTCTCAACACTTTCTCCGTCCGGTTGGCATTTCAGTCTGGTCGGTTCTCGATAACTCGAAATCAAAAACTTGGACTCCTAAAAGATAGACGGCTCATTCAAACCAAATTTTTGAGGAACATGCCGAACCTCATACTCTACCTAACTCTGGTTTCTTCCCTCCTGGGGACAACGACAACAACAGGGAAAAATAGAGGGAAAAAGTCTGCGAATGGACGTTTAACGGATCGCAACGACTGATCTTCAGTTCCCGTAAGCTGTCTTTTTTTTCGCTCAATTTCTCCTATGAGAGATGCTGAAGGCTAAGCGGGCGAACGTTCTACTGGTCTACAAGCGGAAAGTAGTTTTCCCTCTGCAGGTTGGGTTTCGATCCATTGATTGATCGCTTGGGTGATCGATCGATCGATCAATCGACTAACCAACCAATCAGTGCTTGGTCGTTTGATTGATTGATTTACTGACTGATCGGACAAATCATTGAATCGTAGAGTGAGGAATGGATGATCTGTGGTTAAAAGTCATAAGTAGCCGGCCACTTGAGAAGACACGAAGCGCGGAACTCATCGTTAAATTGGCGCAAAATGGAATCCTTGTCGGACCGACAGAGTTTACCTCGACTGGTCTCCTGTGAGGGCTCGCTGTGCAGGACGCTTCATCGAATTCATCAGCATGGCCTCCATCTCCGCGATGCGCTGGTCCGAGAATCCACTGCGACGCATCCTGCGGGGAAGCATTTATTGAGAAATGAATATTCTCCGAACTGTCCGAGACGGGATTTTTCCGCGCAGAATCAGCACCCGCCGTGAGAGAGCCGACATCGGAATTCAGATCCGACTCGATGGCGGTCCGAAACGATAAGAAGCGGCGCTCGATCAGTCACCTGGCGACCCACAGCCTACATCTCACGAGTATCTGAGCCTTGCCTCGAGAGAGCATTGAACTCGATTGAGTATCGAGCGAGCTCAAGGGGCCGTCTTCCCAAGCGAGACAGTGATCCGCGATCATGTCACGTCTTCCGGCATGATAAGAATGCAATCAAAACTTTTGATCGAGCTAAAAACACGTCTCGGAGAGCTTCAGCCACTGAAGATTTTGTCGGATTCGAGTTTCGAAGGAAAGCGGCAGAGAAACAGAGGACAACTGGAGTCGCATGGCGGTGATTAATGAAATTATGATAATAATCCCACTTTCGGAAAGTTCACGCGACGTCTGACGACACCGCGGACAGAGAAGTTCTTTGTTTGGGCTCCCGAATACTGTTCTCCCTCTGATCGAGTTTTGATGAAATTAAGGTGCTTGCTCCGAAAATTTAGCAGTTCCGCCCGCTGCTCTCCAACGCCTAGGGTTCATCCGACGGCTTCGTCTACGTCCAACTCACTTGTTCCCGTTTAGGAGCATAGCTTCCATCTCGGCGAGTCGTTGATCCGAATATCCACTTTTCCTCACTCTGCTCGGAGAGATCGAGAGATCGAGTTAGCTTTCGTATGGGCGCCGCTTTCTTTTCTTCAACTACTCACCTCATTACTCACCCCTACCAATAAATAAGTTTTCACCATGGGCTATAATCATTCAAGTTCAGCGAAATGAGGGGTCGAGGTCACTCTGACACCGACATTTCGCTGAATCTCCGCCGTAAACGCTCATATTCTTCCAGAATCGTATCACCTAGCTCAGAAGACTAGTTTTGGGACCTTACCGATTGTTCATGAGCATGCCCTCGAGTTCAGCAATACGCTGATCAGAGTATCCGCTCTTCTTCGACCTGAATTTGAGCGCGCGATGGATGTAATATATGTAGATCGATCAATAATTGTGAGCTATGCTAGAACTTTGGCGTCCGAATCTGGGCAAGTGATTTGTGGTTTTCTCATCAAAGGTCTCGGGAGAAGGACTTCCAGAAATGCTCCGATTCGCTGCACTTTTCGATGACATCGTGACCGGATGGGGGAATGATGAATTTTACTCACTTGATGATATCCTGCTCAGCGAGTATGAGTGCACTATTTTCACACATGGGACATCTGAGTACGCGGATCGGTGTCTGTTGTACGACGACGTCCCTGTACGTCACTGGAAGGGCTGAGCTCGCTGCCGGCGAGCTCACGAGGCCGAGCACGAATACAGCGAGAACAAGCGACATCTGACCGGCGAAGTGGACCCCACGTCGTTCGATAGAAATCATTGCAGTGATGTCAACGGCTGGTTCCTGAGGAGTTGATGAGGTTGTTCAACTCCGACTGTCGATCGTGTGACTATTCGTTCCGGTCCGCCCTCATGATGAGCAAACTTCTAATCGAATCCTTCCTTATGCGAGGGCTCATCCAATATCGAGCCCAACGTGACGTCGGACTCCCAGGGCCTGCTCCGACCACACGAGATTTCGGACGAAGACTTCTAGGAAACTATTACATCCCGAGATTCTGGAAGCTATACTCCGAACCTTTCATCCACCAAGCAATTTCCCCTCGGTACAAGAATATTCTGGGACCGATCATCGGTGATTCCGATCTCTTATCGGATGCTTTTTTTCTCTCAACCTTTCCGACGGGTTCGACTCGTTCAAGGCGAATCGGTCACTAGTCTCCTCGGCGCCGCCATGCCGACTCCACCAAGTTCTTCAATCACTCAGTCCGGCCGTCACTTCGATGAATCGGTGGCTAAAACGGAACAGTACGTGTTCCGAATTCCAGAGGATCGGAACTTGGACGGAAAAGAGTCAACGAGCCGAGAACTTGGCGTGGAAAATATCAAACGCTCCCAAGTAAATTGAGCGACCGAGGGGCACCAGGACTCATTGGATATTCTTGAGCTGTTAGTCGAAACTTTTCGGCGCTCTGACTCGAGAGAAAATCGGAGCACTGCAATTTCTCGATTGAGACGTTGCGAGTCTACGGAACTGTGAGCTTCGAGTACTTCGCGTGCTGAAGATATCGTTTCGGAACTACCGCATCGAAACTTATTCCAATGCTGCGATGGGCAAGTGGCAAGGAAGACGTTCCGGGTGAATTCGGATCTAAATCGCTCGGGGATTCTCTTTTAATTTTTCGAATGCCCTCAGACTTACGCGGGTGGAGGGAGCTGAAATTCCTGAGTCCGGCCCGGGGCCAGAGACCTATGACGGACCTATTGGCGGTAGCACCGATCACTGCTATGCGAAAGTCTCACTGGGAGAGCAAAAGTTTCAAGAGCGAACTTACGTCCTCCTCGTCTTAGCGGATGGCCGCTTGAGAACTGTGGCCGGGGCATCGCGCTCGCTATATTTATGATGCCGGCCCCATCTCCCCATCGACATGCGCTGGCCCCGGCCCCCTTCTACGTATCTGCAAGAGCGTTTGCGAAAGCCTACATAAAGCCCTTCGGACGATTTCGTCGAAGTCGTTTTGCCCGGGGGCCCGATTTCAGAACGTTGAGAACGTCAACTCGACAGACCCTTGTGCGTGCAAGTGTGGCGAAATTCTGAGCTTGAAGTTTCCAGATGATCCTCGGTCTCAGCAGGCGTGCATTTTGAATTTACCTGCGGGCTCCATAAGCTGCGATTGTTGTTTCGCGAGCAGGGGAGCCGGCATTGTGGGAGGCGACTCAGTCGTCTCGGAGTGGTTCTCGAAACAGAGGATTAGGCGCCGTTTCGGCTTCCGCTCCATGAAGCTAGATATGGAGGCTCACTGACCCATTCGGTGGGGGTCCCGACTCCCGACCCACACCAGTCGGAGAGGCTCTCACTGTGATATGGGGCCAATCTGATGAACAATCCGCGCGTAACCATGACTAAACCTTATGCTTACGGCTTATCGAATAAAGACTAGAGGGGAGCATCGAAAGGCCGCGGACGCAGGTTCAAATATTCGATTGAGACAAGAAATGAGGAATAAAATCATCGGTTCGAAATGTCTTCTCGGTTTGTTCTCTGCAGGCTAAAGTTCGCCTTCGAATTGTGGGAAAGAGAGAACCGTTTTCGTTCAATAGCAAAGGCAGCCTTGGAACACGGCCCTCATCCCTAGGGTCTGGTTCCGAGCCGCGCGGACCTTTGGGCATTGGTATACATATATCGGCCCCTATTTGTTCTGGTTGAGTCCGGTGGGGATTGCAGCCCCATCGAAAAAGGAGGTTCGGATGCCTGCAGCTCGCAATCCGTGATTCTCCGCGGTTTGTGGCCTCTCGATTTCTCTGGGCGGATGAGAGGAACACGTGACGCGATGAGCCGTATGCATCCTTCCTTTAGCTGATTCATGAATACCAATGGTCGAAATCGAAATAGCCGCAGAAGCCTCGAAGAATTTCTCGTCTTGCTCTATACGCTACTCCCTATGTTCCGATCATGATGTGTGAATGTGACGTATTCGACGGGATTCAAGGTCCAACGTCAGGTCGGAGCAGCAGCTCGCCGGAATCTTTCACCCCTCTCAGCCGGACAAACTTAGGAATTCGAGAAATCTGACGCCGATACGCGGCATCTGACGGGGCTGCTGAAGTGCTGCCTTCAGGGAGGACTCAAAAACACGATATACTAGGATAAATACTCCGCGGAACCGGTTCACAGAACCAGAGTTACGCAGGAGCGCAATGCAAGGATGCAGAACGAAGAGAATGACGGCACCGCAGAATAGCCGGCAGGATTCGCCGAGGGATATCGAAATCGTCAGCGCTCGAAGACGTGCAGAAATGTATGGAGTTTGTCGGTTATCGCGTCCCGACGGGAGAAGGGACGAAGGAAGAAAGTTTTCCCATGGTTCCATCCAGTTGCAGTTCCTTTCTCGTTTGTTTATCCCAGGTCGCGCATAGGAAAGCGGCTAGACAGGATAATGAATTTTCTAGTTTGTTTCACTTGCAGCGAGTCCATCCGCAGAATTGCCATGAGGCGAGTCGCCGCAAGGAATTCATGGGAATTTCTAATGACGGAGTGGCACGACTCCGGGACGACGATCAATGCGCCGGCTAAACACTCCGCGGCAGCGGTGGTCTCTGACATTTCTCGGGTGCGTCAACAGGATCACGCCCTGAGTGGCGCTGATGAGGTCACATGCGAACTCCCAGATCGGGGTAGCAGGTGGAATTGATTCCTCTGCAGCTGCTCGCCTTTACCCACTGCCACGCGACTCCAGAGTTCGACTGTTCAAGTTTGGAATCCTGAACGCTCCGTGTGCGGGGAGGATTTCCGAGAGAAGTTTTGCGGTGATTCATCAAGGAGAAACTGCTCCCGCCCGCGAGAGAATCCTCTGGGATCATGGTCTAATTCAATTAATGCTCCGTCATGACGAGTCTGCTCTCGTAGCCGCAGACGCATCGATGCCATGCTCGAGCAAACTCTTCTGTGCAAGATTCATGCATGTACCGAGCGGAACTTTCGATGTGCGCTGAATAGGCTCTTCGCCTGTTCAGGCTCTGCGCTGCTTCAAGCCTACATCCAGTTTAATGAGTGACAGACACCTAGTCTTTGATTCGATTATGAATTCGACGATGGGGACATCCGCTCACGGTGATTCGGACGGAGGTAGCATTGAAAATTCCGAGGAAACTTTCCACGTTGCGGAGTTCGCGATTCCGGTATTGACCTCGCGATCCGCCAACCAAATCCGGCGATCGAGTCGGCTTCTCGGTAGGAGGTTTTCGCTGGTGCCACGCTGGAATCATACTCCGCGCCGTTTCCCCTAGCCGCCGAGCAACTTCGAATTTCGATGTCGAGTCGATGGCAAACGTGTATCATGTTGGCGCACCGAGTCTGATACAGCTTGTCCCGAAGGTCGAAACGGCTCGGTCTCGGCATCAGACTCGTTTGCCTGGCGAGAACTCTCCAACCCGGCTTGCTTGATGAATGATTCAAGATCCGATTCGGCATCTCCCCGCAGATACCAGCGCAACGAACAATTATTAATCTATCCTATTCTACGAGTCACCGAAATCGCCGGGCTTGCAACTCCCGAGACAGTGTCCCTCCAAGGGGTCCGCTTCCTTCATCGAATTTCCAAATCGAAGAACACTGCTCTAATTGGCGATTGCCACGCCTCTCAAGTTGATCCAGGTCTCCAGCAGGCTGGCCATCATTGTCCCCTTCATCGTTTCCTTCTTCGCTCTCTGAATGAGCGGAGGTTACCGGTCGCCCGGACGTCTCTCCTTCGAGAGTTCTAGTTCAAATTAGATGAGCTTGGATTGCTCAATACAGATCTCCCGCCTTTTCGCCATTCCGCAATCCATTCCTTCTCGAAAAAAGGTTTCTGGAAGAGAGACCCTGATGTCGGCGAGATGGGTGAAAGAAAATACAGGAAGCGACCAGGAAAAGATCGCGGATCTGGCTCCCGACAGGGGCTAGAAATTCGCGGCAGAACCGCCCGATTTCAAGGATCCGGAAAAACTCCCTGTTCCCGGAGTTTGTTCGGTCTCAGCAGGTAATGCAGCTTCCCCGAGCACAAATGTTACTTGGAAGGAGCTCAGCTTGGGAAATCGACTGAGGAAGATGATCCGCTCGAAATAGTAGGTAGCTATGACTCCACGCTGATTAACACCTGGGACATCCACTCAACCATGATGCAGCTATGATCCTCATTTGCACCCTCCTCTGGATTTCCGCGATTCCGAAACTGGCTGTGCCTGCTGATTCGGGTATGCTACTGCGGGTTATTCATAGGAAGCGTGTTCGATGTACTACTCGACGTGCTCCGTGGAACAGCTCATCAAGAAACATTCGAGGGCTCGACGGATGTGAATGTCTCCCGATACTCCATAGATATGAGACTGTTTCGCCTAATTGGAGTCGTATCAGACTATATAGGAAGGAAGGATGGATGGATGGATAATAGGATACCATTACCATTATTGGCAGAAACAATCGATCGGATGAGGGAAGGTGTCGGATCGAAATTGAGGATGAGCCAACCGGCCTCGGAGCTGGGGTCAGTGATCCTCGAAGACGGACGCAACAATCATTCCCTGCCAGGGTCTCGATTTGATCAACTCGTTGATACTTCACCCTCGATGGAGGAGCTAATGAAGAACTTTTAAGCCTCTTACAGTTTTACTTTTGGAAGCGCCATCCTAATTAGGATACTGTCAAGTTTTGGAGGCGCTATTCGACATGAGAGAGAGACCCGGCTATTGATCAAAACTTCGTTTCACCAAAGAAGAATTATCCCCGTTCCGTGTGAATTGCTCAACACGTTCCGGATGAGCGAGACTGTCTCGGGCGAATCGCTCGATCCGTAGGAGGAGCACGTCCCAATGCTTGTCTCGGGTCTATTGTTTTCGATAAAAAGACCGCCATCTAGACGCTGAATCAGCGATCACATCGCTCGCATCCTGCATCCAGTAGGGGAGCACGTCAGCCGTTGTTCGAGATGAAGGTCTCGATGGGAGACAGAGAACTCGAAGGAACACTCTGGTGGATCGGGAGCCGAGACGTTCTCGAGGTCCATGAGCTCTCGATTTTGGGGAATCACGACGACATAGCATGGGAAGCTTTGTTTCGGGTGTCGTCTATTCGAGATGCAAAGGCGCTTAATCCATCTCCGAAAGCCTCAACGGCTGGAGCACAGTCCCAATTCTCTACTAAGTCTCCGAAAAACGAAGGTAGCAAGTGCTTGAATGAGCTTTAACGGGAGCCATCCTACCGATGAGGAGGATCCCTCCTCGAGTTGGGGATGTTGACACGGTCGGATGAGGCAAAGCCATACTCTCATGCGAGCCACTTTTTCACCTGCTCCGGATGAGCCCTCATCGAGTCTTTGATGAAGGAAATCGGACCGTCGACGCGGATCATCCGCAACAGGAGATGACCACCCCGCCTTTCACTATGAACCACGATCGACCGCTTTATCCAGATACAGGTCAGTTGTAGTAGGTCAAGCTCGCTTTCGCGGAGCACGACCCGCAACACAGCGCGATTCTGGAATCACGATTGATCAGCGAACAATCTCCGTCGATTAGGTTGTGCAAGGAATCCGACCGGTGACGGGAACATTGCCGTCCTGATCGAATAGATTTGGGTTCCCCGTCGTGGGTAAGATATAGGAGAAAGATATGTAGATATATATATGAATATAAATAATTTCGGCACGACCATGAAAACATAATTCTAGGTTTCCGCCTTAGGTTTCATCTCATCTCATAAGTCATAAGACGGATATGACCATATCGTGACTATTCTTGGAATCGTCACTGCCGGGTAAATCGCAAAAGAAAGCTTAAAATAAAATCGACGGGTCCGAGATGATAGGCACTCACCTTCGATAGACGAAATACAACTCCAGTAAGTAGGGTCTGTAGGCGGAAGAACTCGGCAAACTCTAGGCCGGGCCTGGCGCATTTTAAACTCTGGAACGTTGATGGAGAGGGCTAGACAGGCGGAGCTCCCGAGCTGGGAGTGGGCTCCAAGAGCTACGTATGAGGACGCTTGCGACACTCCAGCTGATGGGGGTGGGCCCCAGACCGTAGATTGTTCATCTGTCCTCTGCTTCGTTTCCCTCAAAGCTTCCCATAAACGGTTGGCCGTGGCGGCACCGGCAACTGGGCTCGCACACATCAACACACACGCTCGGCGGTTCCGAGAGTTCAAAGAGTACCTTCCCGAGCCTACTCTCCGCTGACGCCTCGTCGCGGGAAATGACCCAGACTTTGCGAAGGAGTTCGCGTGAAGTCAGAACGATTTCGCTCTCTATCGATCGATGGAAATGGCCCGTTCACGAAAGACCTCACTGGAGAAAGCTGATATAGCGCGTATCCGAAGGAATTTTCGTTAGAGTCCCGTTCTGTTGCGATCGATCGAATAATATCCGGAAAGGGTCAGCCGTGAATGAGAGAGCCGGACGTCAAGGCTCAAAGTCATACGGCCATGAAAATTCTATTCGCGCAGATATTCATAGAGAGACCCACGCTATTTCTCTGCTTCGGACATCCAGATATGTTTTCTTGGCTCGGATTTGCCGAGCTCATATCACTGATCACTCGCCATTCCCGCTTGAATCTTGCGCCCGATTCCACTAACCCGATCTGAAGCGTCCTCTTCGGGATCGGGGCCAGTCATCTAGGTCTGAACCGGAGTTGGTATGCGGCAAAAGTCAAGAACTCGCTTGATACCTTTTTAAATGAGCCGGTCTCATCAGAGAATCCACTACATATTCTGAGAACATTCATCGCTGCGTGGAGTAGGTACCTAGGATGAATAGGCTCGACGTCATTACGATGAAGGAAATTTCGAAATGTGCTAATGATCCAAGATCCTGAGTTGTCTGAATGCGTCGGTCTCCCAACCAGGGCAGGAAATTTCCAGGATGGAAGACCTTGCCATAGTCCTCGAGAGCAATTCTCGCTTTTCAATTCATGAATACATCTCATTTTCATTTCCTGCCCAAATCCATGCCGATGGAACCATCATGCGCTGCTGAATTACATCCAATAGATCTGCCTTTCCCCCCCGAGAAAACATGATTCTTTCTGATTCACCCGAGCGCTAGTTCTCTGAGGACTTCTTCAGCGATCCGTGCCTCTGGATCGTCATTGCTCAAAAATCGGAGCCCGCTACACAGAGCGCTAGATCCGCGAAAGGCGACGACGCCAACGTCGACGGTTTCCCTTGACCCTGCTGTCGCGAGTCAACCTACCAAGAGTACACCCCCTTGAGCTCCGAAGTCGAGAGGACCAGCCGTCACAATGAGCTCGACAACAACCTGTGACGCTACGAATCAGATCGAGTGGGTCGAGCGGTCACGAAAGGATTTACTTGTTTGCGGACTCAACAGGATCAAGATCATTCCTGACGACGAGGGTATGCTCAGAGATGCATGTCTCGGCTCAGAATTCCTTCCGCTCGCGATCTCTAATGTCGACGAACAAAAGGAATTCCCGAGAGGAGGCTGTCTCAGACCCCGGCATTGTATTCCGCGAGGAAACCCTATGCCAGCTGTCATGCGAGACGGCTGTTCTAATTCCTCGAGATGCTTTTTCTCATACGCGATCGAAGAGACATGATTTCACTGCGGCTCTTGCGAGTTGGCACAATGAAAATTGTTATCCGGCTTGTGCGGCGCATCTCCGGACGGTAACAGCCGCCGAGAGTGGAATGCGAACTCTCAGGCATGACGACACGGAGCTCCTCGAGCAACTCTCGTCCCTCGCGATATTCCGCTATTCGGAGTCGATGCGATGCTGTATACCATACACCGATGCCGAAATTCAGTGGGGGGACGTGATGCTTACGTCCCAGCGAGGTCCTCGAGTCGGCTCTTCCAAAAACATCTATAAGTGTATGTATGTACGACGATATTTCTGTGTGCGAAATTCTGCGAGGCATTCGATAATAAGCATCTGCGAACCTGACAGAAAAAGATTCCAAGTCTATGCAGGTAACTTTCGGTCTCTAGGGAGCGGTAGATGCGAGCTAGTCTCGAACTCTTTACGATCCGCAGAATGGCGGGGGATTATAAGGAACGACCTAGGTCGAACTGCTTCTGGGTCAGTGAAAATTTCCAGCATCCCAGACTGCCTCTCTGCGGTGATCGACATTTTCAATCACCCGCGACTGGGCTTTGAGCTACGAATCTTCGAGCTCGGCCCATGGAGAGGCATATGCAAGCTTGGACAATAGGAAAAGCTTGGTAAGCGGAGTGTTTTATCCTGCTACGGAATCTTGATCTGAGGGGGGGATATCAAGTGCAACGTCCCGTCGTGACACGACATCTACTTCGAGAGTATGCTTTCCTTGTGGGAGAAAAGGAGCTATTCCTGTTTCGATGTAACGCTCCCCGTTCCTGGAATCGTTTCCTTTCATGTGGCTCGTGATGCCCGCGTGGGCAGAGTCATCTTTGCGACAACGGGGAAGTTATTCTGTCTTCCTTGCCCTCTGAGTGCTAAGTTGCCGTCCAGCCAGAAGCTGATATTTTCTTCGACTTTATGCTTCTGACCGAAACCGCAAAACTAGACTATGAGGGATATCCTCCGAGTGTGGCCGAGCATTTTGGGTTTTTGTTTTGTCGTGTCCTCCCAGCGCTTCTTATGCGGCGTGCAGCATTCCTGAATGCCATCCGATGATCACATGGAATGCATGTTTGCGTTGCGGGCATTTCTGTTCATTTCAGCGATAACTTATTCCTTGTTCAGAGACAAAACGTGCCCAGGCATGCTAATGCCTCAACTGGCAAGGGGCCGCTTGAGTGTGAAGTTGTGAGAGCGCTCAGCGTCAAGGCGGAGGACTCGTATCGGCCGCCGACGAGCTCGGGAGCAGAAGTGATGCTTGCTGAACGTTAGAGAAAGGAGAAAAAATGTAAATTGTTTCTGTGACGTTCTTTGCAGAACAACTTTTTTCCTTGTTACGGCAGCACGTGCTTAGCCTTTCCGGTATCGGCTTGCCCCGAAACTAGACGAGCCGGAAGAAGTGCGTGGAATTCAGGATAAATACGATACTTTCCCTGCCCATTTACAGATACCACCCGAGCGAGTGAGACTGCTCAGGCAGACGGCCGAGAAGACGACCCCGGATCGTCCTTTCTGGATATCATCCGTCATATTATTCGTTTTTCGCTTGCGGGTCTCTGCGGATAATTCGCTCAACCCGGGTGGGGAATGATCTCGGAGTTCTATTGATCAGGAAGCTTCTGATCAGTGATCAAGGATCCCATGCTGCCTGAGCAGGATACAGAACATTTCGCTGTGTTCATTTCGAGCAGCTATCGGGAACATCTCTGACGTGTTCTCGCGAGTCGACGCTTCACTTGAATAATTCCTCCTTTACTCTCAATTTCGATTGATATGATTCCGAATGATGCAGACATTCCGCGCAGTCGTGATAAATGAACTCCAGAACGTCCGCCCCTGATGTTTCCGGAAGATTCGAAGAACATCTGTGACAGCTGCCCAGGGACTGAACCCTGGGCAATTCGTGACTGGATGTAATTATGGCTTCCAGCACGCTGTCATACAAAAGTTCCGACGCTCTTGAGGATCGCCTGCTCCGAATATCTGTCCTTCCTTTCGATTCTATCGGAATAAGTTTCCCTTAAGTCAGATAATCATCGCCGTCGGGAGTGTTTCCACCGCTTCTGCTGAATAAAACATGTTGACGGAATTTCTGTAGTTTTGTGAGTACACACAAGCTGCATCGAATATTAGGAGATGAGCCAATGCTGCCGTAGCACGCCACATCCGAAGACTACTTAAGGAGATCGATGGAGCTACATTCTTCAGTTCCACTTCTCACGAGAGGCCGAGAGCATGCTACCGTCTTTCAGCGAGTTGAGATGGTTGCTCTTCACGGGTCTCCTGCTTGCCCTGGTCGGACAATTTCCTCCGGCGAGTTCCGCAGAGCTGATGAAGGATTTCGACTTCCAGAAGGTTCGTCTTTCAATCAAGCATGACATCGAGTTTGCTGGAAACGATTGAGCTTTATAGAACGGCTCCAGATTCCTGATCGATCCTCTAGGAAGGGTCTGACGGAAAGTTCCGTGTTACAGTTCATCAAACAGCGTTGGTGGGTGACCTACAGAGCTAAGAAATTCAAACATTACGATCGATGCATCAGTATCGGGTTCGGGAAATTCTTCAAAGACAAGGACTACTTCGTTGAGGTGGACCATGAGATGTCGGGGTAGGTCGGAAGTTCAAATCATGAGCCAAATCCAAGAGGCCTCCACGTCTTAGCTGGATCCTCCTCCTGCTCCGCGTGGAGTTTCCCTTGGATTCCTTCCGAACTCATATCCGCATCCGCAGTGAAATCGCCTGATTCTTACAGAGCTATCGATAGATCTTATCATCCCGTGATTCCTCATGATACGGGCTACCACTTCAATCTCGACGGTCAGTTCCATCAAATTCCTAATCCCTGCCGATACGACACCCTCACGACTCGGTATTGTCAGATAGACAGAAGCGAGAGTCTTGACTAATGCAAGAAACCTCCACAGGGGGAGACGAGGGTCGCGTCGACTTCGTCGAAACCGATTATTCCTCTTATGCGATAGCCATGGTGACGATGAAAGACCAATCGAAAGGTGAGACTCGAAACATAGAACATGGATCAACATGGATAATTATATGTACATTTTCACTACAATGTTCGTCCTTACGATCAGATTTGGATCATCTCGTGATAATCACAAAAGAAGCAACGGTCTCAGACGACGTGGAGAAGACGATTGGAGCGCGTCTCAAGGAGCTGGCCGACATTTCGCTCGACAGCATGGAGAAAATAAACAACGAGAATTGTCCGGTCGACATGAGAACCCAGGAAATGATCTGAGCTTTGGGTTGTGGAAATAAAAAAGTTGCCGGGATCCTGCAGGCACATGATACTAGTGAGATCCCCCGGGGCTTACCTCAACTTGTTGCGAAATATAATTGAATAAACGCGGAAGTGCATACACATCTTCCATAAGCGAAGCGTTCTACGAAGCCCACAAGGTCGTCCCCAGCTAGGTTGAAAGAAACATGAACACACCAAAGAATCGAATCTACCTGGGACCGGGGAATAGGAACGAGATTCGTTTTGTCTCGTCGCCCAAAGCCCCGAGAGAAAGCTTAGAGGAAAAGCGTCTGAGGATCACCTTAGCAAGGGCTTAGACCTTCGGATCGAGTCTGTCTTGTCTGAAGTGCTTGCAGAGACATACAGACATATACAATGCGTTTCAGCGACGAAGCGCTTTCGCGAAAAATCCACGACTTCCGAGTCATCAGTTACAAGCCTTACCCGCGAAAACAAACTCACTTGTCAGCAGATGAGTACATTCACAGTTCCGACGCTCTAGTTTTTGGATCGTCGAGCGAGAGCGACGGGAAAAGTTTGATCAGCGCTGTCTGTTTGAATACGGCTCTCCGAGTGTCGACGGCGAGTTCCCTTTGAGATTCCCGCGAGCTCTAACTCGAAGGCCCCCTCTTGAACTCCTTCGTGTCCTGTGACGCATGGGGAGACCAGAGCCTCTTCCAGCGGAAATGCGGGTTTTCTCGCGACGGACGATGTTTTCCTCTCTGACTGCTCTTAATTACGAAGATTCGGACTAGAGAGCTCGATTCCTACGGCCGGCTGAATTCAATAGGAGAGGCAAATCGAGACATTTCTCCCGACTGCGTTTTGAGAAGAGCGCCGTTTATGCACATTCATAGCTCCATGCTTATTATTTATATAGGTACGGTTCATTGATCTCTGGGCGTCCACAGTAGCTTCTCCTGATAGCTCCTCCAAGCTCACGGGAACACCGGTCCGACGGATTCTCAGCACTGATTCGTTGGAGCTCGAGCTCAAATGTCGGAGCTATCCGCATATTCGGTCCCATCAGGCTCGTGGCAGGAAGATTCCGCGATTTCACCCTTTCATTCGTCGACATTCCGATTTTAGGGATTGTACTGAGTGTGCTGCACCGAGTTTCAGGAGGTTTCATTTCATGCCAGCGAAATCTTTGGCCCGCAGTTTGGCTTCCCGTGGTCTGCAAGGATCACCTGGTAAATCCGACCAGCGGTCAGGCGCTATCTGACGTCGACACAAAGGTCATCGATGAAGACCTCAAGAGAATCCTCGAGAGAGTAACCTTGAGAGCGACAATAATATTGACTGCCCGTCGATCTGCGCGAGCGGCGAGGTATGTGAACTCTCGCCCTCGAGCTCGAGCTGTGACAAGATAAACAGGCCGAGCCTGATGAGAGACACGAATATCGACTCACCTTCCTTCCCTGCTCTGGGAACCGCTGGGAAACTTCGAAGCATGGTTCGTATGGTTGTGAGGAACCGATGAATGAGGACCACTTTGCGGCGGTGCGCTCGATGCGCGTGAAATGACAGGATTTCGCCTGCACGGGCCTTGGAGGTAATCGAAGACGTGCGAATAGTCTCGCCGTATAACACGACGATGAAAGGTCTCACGAAGCATCGTCGGAATATGGAAATATTTCCCCAAAAGATCTCATGCGAACGCATCTCTCAGTAGTGAAAAATACCCGGCCGAGCCTTTCAGAGACGGGAGAGCTTCCTCCTCCTCGCGTCGATATCGGGCTCTACAGCGTATTCCGTCTATTCGCCGGGGCCTTACCCCCTACGTTGGGCTACGCTCAATGTTTCTAAAAACAGGGCTCGATTTGAAACGGAGGAGAGATGATCAGCTCGAATATGAATGTTCGTCGATGGAACTGACGCTGGACGGGGTAAAAATCATCATCTCAAGGAAATCGAGATTTGCTTGAAGGAGATAGTCATCCGAGCTGACAAGAAGCGTAAGAGTTACAGAAAAATTCTTCATCAGAAATGAATCCTTCATTGTGTCATATGTTCCGCGCGCGAACCGGATCACTGAGTGTGAAATTATGCGGGAGCTCATTGATCACGCAGATCTTCGTTCAAACATCACATTCCGAGGATCCTCTCCCATCGGTCGATAAAAAGTGTTTGTATGAACTTCCCCGCTCCTGACGTGGAGTGTACACGGCCAACATGGAGCTGCTATGGAGTACTATTTTCGTCTTGATCGCCGCCTGTCACAACCTTGGGAGAGCCGCTCCCACTTTCGATGTCATGAAGGATCTTGACGCTGGAAAGGTGGGTTCCATCACGGCTGAACTCCCGATGAATACATAATAATTGAATTCACGTTGGGCAGGAGCGCTCCATTCAATGGAGATTCGGATGCTGAAGCTCCCCATACTCTCGCCCTGATATAAAGAATTAGATCCTACGATCTCTGTTGGGTGAATAACGTTTTCGAGTCAGTGCCACAAAGCAAGCATCAGCCAGACGGCGATCGGTTGTGAGCATGAAAATCATTCCTCTCATACTATTTTTTCCCATCGAACCGAGCATATCGAAATTACAATCAGTCCGCACTATTCTCTTTTACAGTTTTCCTCCGCGAGATGGTGGGTGACCCATCGAGGGGGACGACTCCACGAGGGTCATCTCGACCGGTGTCTGGTGCTGTCCCTGAGCCGGCGCTTCAACGATCAGAAGCTCTACGTGGAGATAGATCACGAGAATTCGGGGTATTCGCTCCGATAGGGATTCCAAATGATTAGTCCTGCTCGGAAGGCCTCTGCCCTCCCATTGTTATCTCATTATCAATCCTATCGATCCGAAATCAATTCGAACGCGTTCCATTTCAGAGCAATCGACCAAGCGTACTTCCCAGCAAGCATCGATTCTACCGGTCTACAGTTCAGCATGGAGAGTAAGCACCCTTTTTCTCAAGGACTCGATGTAGATTCCATTATTTTTGCATTTTTTCTCGGCCGATCAAGAAATTCAAGATGGAACCGTATTACCCCCAGTTCGACCGAGCCCCTAGTGAACAAACCTGTCGAAGAGAATTCTTCAATTGAAATCTTCCAGATGGAGAGAATGTCAGGATAGACATCATTCACACCGACTACGAGTCATATACCATAGGTTATTTGACCCTGGCCAAGAGGAGTGAGTCAGTTTCGAATACACAGAGAAACGGAATGATCCGGTGAATTTATCGCATTAGACCTTCCGCAAAACCTTCATGCATTCCAGAGAGTGAGTTCCTCGTTTTGTACGCGAATGTGCCGAAGCCGGACGGAGAGCTCCTCGAGAAAATGAAATCGAAGCTGCTGGAGATCACGGGGGTGGGCGTCGACGCTCTTCAAATTGTTGACAATGACAATTGTCCAGAGAAGGTCAACAAGGAACCTTGACATCACATTAAACATGGAAACTGTAACATCCGGACAGCCTTACCCCGTTCGATAATCTCCTCAAACAGGATATGACGAATAAACTGAGAGATTGATGTCTCTTCCTGCTTCTCCCATCTTTGCTCATCAGTCCCGTGGAGCGAACGGCAGATATTCCCAACATCGTATGTTCGTCGAATCTCTCGCGAAACCGACGCGCTAACGCGCATGCTTCGCGGGGCACGACATCAAGAAGGACGAAGAAGCGTGGCACGACTTCGGCGGTCGGAATTCTCGGATGAGATTGAATTCTCTTGATGGAGCTCGCCTCGATGAATCTCACCGGGAGATATTTCGAGTTTTCCGAAAAAGGTGGAAGTACTCCCAGGGGCAAATCAGATAACAGCTCTCGGAAGGACACGGAGAGCTTTCCGAAAACTTGAACTTTCCGGATTTTCGCCTCGTGTATTCGTACGTTCCTCACTCCTCGCCTCAGGTTATGAGCTGAGCAGATCTCTGTGTCTCTTGGGAAGTGGCCGATAGAATCGACTTTAGGTCACCTATTGCTTTGAAATATCCGAAGTCCAGTCAGGGCGGACGTCGAACGTCCTCTTCCACCTGCGGAACTACAGCTCGAGGATATTCAGCGACAGAGTCGCCGGGACCGCGGAACCGCCGACTGTTCAAATGCTGTCTGTCTTCTCATTACAACGACTTACCCTCACGATCGCGTATTAATGACTGTCCCCCCGAGAGCGCCCAGCATCAGAGTACTTGAGAAGCCGGTTGGGGCAATTCAGACTTTTGGGTCGTAACGACTAATTCTAGAATCCGTCCGCTCGTAACGACGAAACCTAGGGAGTGCGTCATCTTCATCGCTCGATGATGGCCAGGTCCGACTGCGATACTTGCGTCAGAGTTCGCTCAAAACTCCGCATGGAATGTGCAAAAGAATGGTGTTCGAGAGTTCTAGCCCAAAATAGGAGAAATATTATTTTTGCATTTCCGTGTATATGCGAGATACGAATGTCCAGCGCGAATTGCAATCGTAGGGAACGTCCCTTTCAAAAAACGAGAGCCCATTCCGTCGTTCATCTTTTCCTTCCAAGACTTCCGGACCTGTTTCGAATTCAAAACAAGAACGTTCCAGCGAAGATCGCTGTGAGGGATGCGTGAGAACACTTGTGCTGCTACGTCCATCGTACGGACGTCCCAGACTCGACGCACCCGGCGGACTCCGTTCGCGTGTAAGGTTGCGGCTGTCGGAATGAGACAAGGAGGGAAACGTTTTGGAGAAGCATCTCCCGGAATGAATTTTATTTTTATCATACTTCTGTCTCGAATTGCTTCTGCGATGTTCATGGAGTTCGTGCAAAGAGCAAGAAACAGAGGAAAAGTAGGTTCCACCGAGATTTGAACTCGGATCGCTGGATTCAGAGTCCAGAGTGCTAACCATTACACCATGGAACCCTAATGCTAAAGAGACCAATCTTAGCAATGTATTACGCTGGCAGACTGCGATGACGTCAAACATGATATCGGTCGATCGGTCCGCGCATCGGCGAAGGGCTCTAGGGAGTCGATCGTGACGATAGCCGTGGAAGTCGCGGTCGTAGTTATCTGTTTCTCGCGACTAATTGGAGTATTTCTTTCGCGGAAAAGAGTCGTTGCTATGGATTCTCACGGCTATGAAGAGCTTATCCGGCCCCCAGCTTCCGGCGGCCAGTCGTCCCTCACTCAATCAAGGAAAACAACACTGTTTATGCAAGATGGGCCCCAACGTCGATTCGACTGGGCGAAGCCTTGAAATTCGAAACCTTCAAGCGTCGGTTGTCTACCTTTCCACACTTGCAGCAGTACTGGTAGCCTGGAAGGTCATCAGTCATCACCTAGTGCTCCCTGTGTAGCCTGATCATTCGATCAGTTTACCACCTTAGCCCGTTTCTGACATTCAGTGTGAAGCCGCGAATGCCCAAGCTGCGACAGACTCGTGTCTTCCGTTCCACGCGGCGGGAGCCGTGCCGAATGTTTCCGCGCAAGGAATTCCTCCTGATCCATCACAGCCGATATTTTTAGAGAGAGATCACGCGTATGGAGGCATGCCTGGATGATATTCCAACTAGCAGCTTGGGGGAAGGGCATCGTGAACATGGGACCCATTTCCTGCCGCGAGGACACAGGCACATTGTCGTGCAAGTTCAGACGACTGACGTCAACTCCCCGAAGCCCCATCTGGGTTCGTACGCAGTGTGCCTGCATGGCGGGTCTCGAGAAATCCCTAGTCGGCTGCTCTTCTAGAATCCCCGAGGCATTGGGAGACTGTCGCAAGCTGAGGCCGGGGCACAATCGATCATGAAATTTGGAGCGGCTCTTCTGACAAAACTTTCTGTATAGCGATTATCCGGTTTTGAGACCCTCAAGACGGCCAACTATAATGATAATGGAGAACAAAAGGGATAGCTCGAAGAAGAATATAAGTACAGACTGCCGCGCGTCATCACTCTTCATCACTCTCCTGACAATACGTCGGGCATGGAGACCCTGTCGGCAGACGTTCGTGCGATTGATCTACGTTCAATACTGAAACCTCTTCGTGAGCAAAACCCTTCCAACATCGAAGAAGCACTCAATGAGATCGACCCTGGCGAAGATGGAATCGTCAGTTTATTCGCTCCAACTTTTCGGCTCTAATCACCATTCCGGCGTGAGTGAGTTTTGCCGACTAGGGCTGCCATGTCCCATAAAGCCCCATGTCGGGAAGGTCCGAACTCTTTCTGTTCGCCGTTCCGGCCCCCGTGACGATCAGCACGGAGGACTCACATTTTCCTCCTAAGAGGGAAGGAGGATGTTTTCGCGCCGATCTAGCATCTCTCGACCTAAACCGGATGAGATCTGCGATTCACCAGACCGTAAGGTTTTTTGAGTGCAAGTCAAACCGTACTGCCAACTTGCGGATCTGCACTCCGGTTTCGGTAGCGTGAGGATCATCCTGTGATCGTTCGAGTTTTCCCGATTGACTTCCCCACGAACCTTTCTGCTCAGTTGACCCTACCGCTAAGAAGTTCCTTCGGAATCCACACGAATCGCTCGGACCGTCTCATCGCCGAATCGAAGTGGAGCGACTCGAATAGGAAGCGCCACACAGCTATTCGGATAATGCATGTCGAAATGTTGGGCGACCTTAGGAGGCCGGCCCGTCGCCGAACCGACCGACCGACCGATCGGTCTGTTCATCAGCGATGGGCCGCAGGGAGGCAAGCCGGGCGACAGCTGTGGTTTCCGTAGTTGTCATTATCTGAAGCTAGTGTCTTATTGTTAGGAAATTTTCTTAGCGAATTTCGCTCAATGTGTCGTCGCTTCAAGTCGTAACGGCTGCTTGAAGCTCATTCCTTCGTAGGCTACCAGTTGCTGTGGCCTTCGCCCGATTGCGGGAAACGATGCCGTTTATGCAACGTTGATTCCTTCTCGCGGATCCAACATTAAGAACTTCAGTCTGTCTATTTGTCCTTCATCAAATCGTCCGTCGCTTCATGCCCGACGTGTGAGCCAGCAGATCAATCGCCACCGTTGAGCTTTCGCAGTAATCGTTGATCCACGTTTCAAGTCATCTCCGGTGATCGATTCGAGTAATCGGAAACCCTGTCCGCAACCACAGACATCGATCCAATCGACTATCGAGTTGTTCAGGCATAGCGTTGAGCTCCAGCGCGGGGAAATGTTGGAATGGCGACCCTGAGCGGGAAGAAATTCTCGCTCCATGATCGGTGAATTTTCGACAAGATTGCGTCGCTCAGACATTAGGTCTCCAATCTGCCGATTTCGGACTCCGTGAAGTGGATCATTGGCGCAACGATGACTCAAACTGGAACGTAGCATGAATCATCAGACGGTCGAGTCCACGATAAGTCTGCTCCAGGATGTACGACCGTCAGACTGGAAAATGGAAGCCTCTGGTCTCCATTGAGACATGAATTATTATTGATGATGATCGAGACTCGAGACTGAGGAGATGTGCTCGCTGACGTCTGTTTCATAGATAAAGAAATATCCGCGCATCGGACTATGTGTGCGAAATCCAGAAAATTGGTCCCTTTCCCACCTTCCCCAAGTGTCAGTGATCGATCCCCGTCGGGACGACCATTCTCCATCAACCCCGGGCGGGAGGATTAGAAAGTCGTTGGTCAAGTTGGATTTCAGAACAATCGATTCAATTTTCCAAGCCCGACGAAATCCGATAGGGGACTTTCCTCGGCGGTCGGATCGGTTCGGTGAGGGATTTTTGTGAAATCAAGAGTCATTCTGCGACGAGAGCAAGAGCTCTGGTCAGAATCCGCTAGCAACCTGGGGCGAGCTTTGGTAAGGAGTATCGGGAAAGAATTTCCTTTTTAGATGTCATTCAAGAGAGTCTGATACGAGCTGACCCTGGATCCCGAAAACGGCTCTGTCTGATCTCTCTTTCTTCACACGAACCAGCTTCATTGGTCGAAATCAGCGGAATACGCAAAAATAGCTCCCGCTGCGGATCTAGCATTGGGCGCCCTGGAGGATAAGTGCGAACCCACCGCGGATTCCACCCCGTGGAATCCGCTGTTATCCCGAGCGCGATCTATCGAGAAGTACAATTTAGAACGACTGCCATTCTCACAGCTTTAGCTTATAGTGGGCTCCCCCTCGAGCTCTAAGCGATACGCGAGCCGACAGCGCGGCAACGGCTCTGTCGTTTGTCGAGTTTATCCCCCATGCGGTCTCTTAACTTTAACACATGCGCATCGGAACATACGGGGAGACCATCTGCCCCGGGTAACAAGGCTGCAGGGACTGGGCCGGGCTTCGAAACAGACACTACCGCGAAGCACTGAAAAAATAAAATACCTACTCTTCCTCTCGTTTAGAATAATTTTTGGGCCCGTCGCTGGAGAATCCATAACATTCCTAGAAATGCACGAGGATCAGAGGGTGCCTCTCAGCTTGTCAAGGCTCTTGAGTTCCGACTCAAGAGCTGGTGGGTCCAAGTGCTTCCGGCGTCTATTCGACTCTGCGTTGGAAAAAACGGCGACCTTCCTGGAAGAAAATGAGGAGATGCTGCAAATTACTCGGTAGGAGTCCGAGAGATGCGCCGGGAAATAACGGGACAGAGGTTCGGAGGGCCATCAATTCTTTATATCCTAGACTGCAGAGTCCGCTCTCGACATCTTCGACTGCTGTTGCGGTCGGAACACTGTGTGTTCCTTGAGATCTTATTCACTCGATCTTCCACCAGGTGATTTCGGCTGTAGTCGATTTAAGTTCGACTTTGCCGAGAAAGTCTCGAGCCTGCCCCTAGATTGTCCCCGGAAGGGGACAATCGAGGTCGGAACGACTTCCGCCAGGAATCTTCGACCCTGTCGGATTAGCTGTCTTTTTCCGTTTCATATCTGCCAACGTGAACTATCATTTTGCGGACAAATGAGCGGCGCGGCCGGCCGATTCTCAAGCAGAGTCGAGGGAGCTCCCGATCATCCAGGGAGCGGATCGCTGTAAATGCGGATAGATCGTGCTGTGCACCTCCAGCAAACTGCGGAACCTACAAGTCAAAGCTTGCTAGATTCGAGGCTTCTCCCTTGTGGACCCTGCGAGAACTCAAATCGAAATTCGACCGGTGATCTTCACGGGAACCCTGCCGGAGGCAACAGGTGGGATAGTTGCCGGCTCGAGGGAAGTTGCCTCAGGATAAGGAGCCCGCGGACGCTGCGCCGGCTGTTTGTAGGGGCAACCGCATTTTCTGGGCGTAAGATCGTTTACAGTTGCCTCCCGACCACCGGGTGCTCCAGCCTGCATCGATCTACGTCAACTTTTACCAATGACACACCACGCTAGCATTTTGTCCGGGCAGGAAGGCGGCGAGAAAACTGTCAGACGAGCGGCTGTCCAGGAGCTGTCGGTTTCACGGGTGAATCCCTCGTCGGTAACGGAGTACTGGTGAGCTCTTCCAATCAAATCAAGAATTGTGAAGAGAAGAAAAAGAAGAGCAGGAGAGAGACGGAGCCTGAGAAACCGAGGTCGCAGTAGAGGAATTTGTTGACCTCGATCTCGAATCACGAGTCTCCCCAGGCCAGCTTGACCTGATTACGGCCGTTTGGACATCCGGTAGTGGAACTGGAGCATTTACACGACAAAAAAAAATTATCTATCAAGCTCTTCCGGAAAGTGAAAAGAATAATCCTGCTCCACCCACCTTCGAACGGTCAAAAACAGCCATTCTGAAGGAGTTGCAAGCTTAGTCGGCACCGTGTGCGATTCATTCGGAACCGGTTTGTTGTAGTCGATGGAAGTTTCATGGATCCGATCCGTGATTACCATAATGATCGAAGGCCGCCTAAACGGGACAAATATTGTGACGAACAAATCTATTTTTGCTTTCAGGATATTCTTATCCCGATTCCGGTGAAGAACAACAGGATGATGTCGTCGCCAGTTGCGCAAAGTCACATGGAAGGACCGCAATTTCACGCGCGAGGGTCCGAGCTGTTGGATACGTATCGTTTTTCCGGTGACGGACGGGCTCCCCGAGCGTCGACCCCGATTCACCCTAATATCTAGCTCGTATCGGCTAAGGTCAGGGGGAAGACGGTCAGCCTTCCTAGGTTTCAGTGGAGTCGAGATTCTATGGGCCGTCGAATTAGAGGTGTGGGGATGCTCGTCTGATAGGGGGTGTAGGGTGCGCATTCAATGGGAGCGGTACGGTTTTCGTCTATACGGGAATCCTCCGGATGTCAACGTTCATCGCTTTGGAACGATTCTCCGACCATGCGTTTCGTACAGGATCGATCTCGATGAGCAAGTATTGATGGTTCTCAAGTCGAACAGGATCAGCCGGAGTGGGGGAACCTCCGGGAGTTGCGCTGATTGATTGACCGATTGACTGCATGCAGAATATCGTCGAGAGGTGAGAGGCAGCTGACATGAATGCCAGCAGGGGAAGGGATTAGTTGGGCGTCCACGCTTTGGGCTTTTTCCTTCTTAGTTTAATTCCCGGTCGACAAGTCGGTTCCTCTCACCGGAAAGCTCATGACACCAAAGAGAAAAGTATTCTTCGGAGCCCGAGCCCCTCGCTCCCCCCCGAATTCATGTATGTGTGCATCTTGTGGATTGCTGGATGTATCGTTTCGCTGCTCGTCTCCCGATCTTCTATTCGGGCCCCTGACAGCGGGAGCGAATCCGCTCAGCGAATGACGGTCGATGGCCGAGATGAGGGAAGACACTTGACGTAGCTCCCCGAGATACGGGGCAGCGGGCAGTGGATGAAAAGAGGGTTAGGAACTCGCGCTGCTGAAATCTCCGGTTACGGAAACACCAATGAATCGACGGTCATTTAGTAAATGCCATTCATTAATAGTATACATTCGGTAAATAAACACACATAGAAATACGGCTTTGCGCATGTGCGTTTGGTTGCCAGGCAAGCTGGGGTTGCGGCTGGCGGGCGGACGGGCGAGCAGGTCGGCGTTTCGGCTTCTTGATTTCTCGATTGGGTACCCGCTGCGATTGCTTTGTGAAATTTTTCCGATCGTTGTTGACTGACTGAACCAGCGTCTTCTAATAGCCGCGAAGGGAATGATGGCGTTTGGCGTTTGCAACACTTTCCGTTTCGGAAGTCGATGCCGTGTGTTGATTCTGGTCGTCGCAAGACAAAAGCGAGGGCTCTGGTGCGGCTGCTCCGTATTACGAAGCTGTTACATTTCCATCTCGTATCTGCAGTCAAAAAAGTGACATAATCCTACCTGCGCTCGATAAGAAACGCCTCCGGCAAGAACAACACGGGGCGATACGCATCTCACATAAGGTGTAGTCGACGTGCTAGTTTCGGGTCTCCTGAACTCAGAACGCCTCTAAGAATGTGGTTCTCCCGTGGGATGTCGGGCCCCTCTCGAGGAGCCCCGGCTGACGACCGGGGTGCCCTTTATCTCGAGCTTCTTTTAGTGGATGACTTCCGAGTTTTCCGGAGCTAATTCTTGATCAGAATAGCCGATTCCCAAAATTGGGAAGGTAATCGTATGGCAGCCGAGATGATTGAGACTTCCGTAGTCATAGACTCACTGAACTCAGCGCTGAACAACTGGGGGGCTCCATATACGTAAGTCTCTCTGGGGGGCCGTGTAGGTGCGGAACGTTCCATCATGATATTGATTCCCGAAATTCTTCCAAATCTCTCGGCTTCTCTCAGTCTAGAAATTCGATATCGAGCCCGTCGAGCAGGGACACTCTCCGCTCGCGGGTGTCTGAAGGGGGTTCCCGAAACTTCCAATTTGAGAGGACCGTCTGGTCTGGTTCTCACTGTCTGTCCCATCACGGCTCCCGTAAGCGAGCAAGATGGAGCTGTCACCTGCACTATCGGCGACGGAAGGAAGAAAGAAGCGAAAAACTGACTAACTTTGATCAGCTGAGCGAGCTGTCACTCGAGAACTATTCACGGGTGATGAGGGGTGACGGGCCCTCAAACCACACGAGTTACACGGCAGAAGCCTACGCTGAATTTCTGAGTGCTCAGGAGAAACTCATGCCGACCTCCCGATTGATCGCTTGATTGAGCTGAAGTCCAATACAAGAATGCGCGGATACTCACGGCTGTCTCCGAGACCTAGACTTTCTATGGAGATACATAGAACGAGACTTTCCGAGAAGGCTTACGGCTGTTCTGCCGGCTGAAACGTCTCCCTAGGAGATAATCCTCCGAACCAAAATTCCATTCTCGTGTTATCTACTATCTCCCAGTCCCGTTGGATGGGAAGCCATCCGTAAACCAATGATTACGATACCAGGAGCCCCCTGCGGAACAGACAAACTCAATGCTGCTGGAACACGCAGCATTGAGGTCTATCTGATTGTACTGCAATCAATCCTGATTATCAATCGATCGGTTCTCGAACCCACTTATCCTAGCTTCGGAAAACTCGGGAATGCACCAGCCTGGAGAATCCTCGAAGCCTCTGGAGGAGCCTGAATGCCGCAACCCCATATTTGGGAGCTCCTCAAATCCGAGTCTAGTGAAAAATTATGCTCGAAGGATCCAGCAATCACATAAGATATATTAGAGCGGGCAAATTATCTGCCGTCAACAGTTCTAATTATAATCGTGATCATTCAATTCATCTCAGACTTAATTGGCCGTCCATGGGAGAAGTTGTAGAGATCCTCAAATACCCGAATCCGGAGTTCGATAGGGGCTGGGAAGATCGGGAACTCTTGATTCAATTCTCCGGGTTCTCTTGAATCGATTCAATCGGCCACAACTTGAGAGATGTTCCCTCATTCACACACGGCTGTGCCGAAAACATGCCCGGCGAAGACAGGAAGAAGAAACAAGTTCACAAATGAAACTGAATCTATCTACCATGTTCCTATGCGGATGGAAGAAATTGAAAAGCAAAACCGACAAACTAGATCGACATGTTGTCAGATGAATGTAGCTAGACGCTTTGGTCAAAGACGGGTGTCGTCGTCGCGGACGACGGCGACAGCAACGGCGACTGCGACTCCGACCACGGGGCAGGATTGTTACCAAAGCGTTCGTCTGCGGCATCCCGGACCGCAGCGATAAATGCGCTCCTGAAGATGGCGAGGGGCAACAATCGTTGCGGTCTGCTATATAAAGCGACTTCTCCTTTGGCTGGACATCAGCTTGTCCCGTGCAACTAACAGCAAACATGAACACCCTCCAAGTCGCCCTCTTCGCCGCCGTCGCAGTCGTCTCGTTCGCCCAGTTCGACGGTGCTGATTTCTCCCGGTTCGCCGGCCAGCACGGTAAGTGTTCCTGAGCGCCCATATTCTCGGATAAATGCTCTGCCGAATTTCTCCGCGAGGAGGAACTCCTCGAGATCTCAGAGTGTCCATCAGTTTCGCGCGGCTGCATTTATTATCGGAAAGACGGCGTTTCTTCGGCAAGCCTTCATCCACAAACCATGTGGTTTCCCAGCGAGCGACGGTGTGAATTCTTCTTTCGTCGGTCTCGAATGACATCTAACGATCGTGAACCTCTCTTCCCTCAGCCGCTGGTGGTGATTCTCCCCAGTTCGACTCCTCAGCTTTCGGTGGTGCCGAGGCCGGAGCCTTCGGTGCCCATGGAGCTGCTGGAGCTCAAGATTTCTCTGGCTTCCAAGGATTTGATGCTCAAGCCGCTTTCGGACAACAAGGGCAGGGACAGCAGTTCGACAGCTCCGCTTTCGGAGGATTCGGAGGTGATGTCGATGCTTCTCAGTTCCAGTGAGCGTTGATTTCATGACGAGTCAGCGACTATGTTGCAATTCTTGCCATCTGTGATGAGAGAATCGAATGTCTCAATGCTGCTGGGACCGACCGTCGGCGCCGTTCGACGACGGCGCTGCGATGTCGGCGTAGGTCGGTAAAGTTTGGCTGCGAATTGCAGAACCGGATTGTATATATGTTTTGTATATAATAATGGAGGAAAAACACCAAAAACAAATGAATAAATCTATGTTCGTAGAGGACGATCCATCTACGGAAACACATAAAACCATCGTATAGTCTTCAGCGGTATGTATAATGTTCCGACGACGAAGATCTGTCATGGCTCCGACGGGGAGTAGGTGAGAGTCTCCCTCTGCTCGACTCGATCTAATCCAAAGTAACCAGTGATTTGATGGATAGAACTTCTTCGGCTCGTTGAGCTCCCACGACCCCTCAGCATCGGATAATGGGACTCCCATCGCTGAAGAACTCTCAATCGCCACGCACCCCGAGGGTCCACCGTGAATTTTCATGAGAAGCGCTTTGAATCGTCCAAGGCGAACAAAACACCCCTTCTCGGTGTTTGGTCCTACTCAAGTGAACCGTTCCGGGTATATCAGTTCCGTATGCAGGGATCAACATTGATTCCATCCACAAGTCTTCCGCATGGTAAGCACTTCCTGTTCACGAAGTGTCCATCCCGAGGAATTATGCGCGATCGGGAATGATCTTCCCGGTGTAACACCGAAATTTGTAGGTCGTCCTGGACCCGGTGGACACACCGGTCCCCCGAGGGATCCATACGACGGTCTCTCCGCAAGGATTCTTCGCCGTGTGGGGTGAATTAGGCTCCGGTGAAGCTTCGCGCGTAATCACTGGCTTCACGGCACCGCTCCGGTGCCAAGCGAAGCGCGTCAACCCGGCCACGGCGTCAACCCGGCCACGCCGTCTACCGGGCCACGCCGTCAACCCGGCCACACCGTCAATCCGGCCACACCGTCAATCGTGCCACGGCTTCAACCCGGCCACGGCGTCAACCCGGCCATCTGGGGGTGCACCTATGATGGAACTGTCTTTGGGCGAGAAGGAGGGGAGATTTCTCGTTGCGATTCAAGGGGGTTGAGGAAAACGACTAAGGATCACCAGGATGGCAGCGCCCGTCGAGAGTCAACGAGGACGAGAAAAGCTCATCCATGAAGGTTTCGCGTGTGTGTTCGCTCAGCTCAGCCGCGATCGGTGCACTGAATTTTGGCGATGTCACTTCAAGACTCATCCGACGAAAAAATGCTGTGCTCGCCTGCACCGGTGGAGGTTCAACAGAAGAAAACCGCCCCGAAACGACGAGCCGCTGACACTCTGGAGACGCCGCAGCAAATCATCAGCGAAGTGCGGGTCGGTTCTCCATTAGCTGCTCAAGGAACTCTGGAGAGCAACAAGACGCTGGCCAGAATCGTACAAAGAACACGGGACAAAGTTGGCATCGCATCCCTACACTACACGAGCTTGGCTTCGATCGACATTCCGGAGGAGTACCGCCGCTACGAAAGCACTTCGGGAAACTTCCAAAACTTTCTGCTCGGCGACAGTGGCTCTGATGTTTCGAATCAAATCTTAATCTTTGGTCGGGCGTCCGCTGTTTCGTGGATCGGTCGAGTGAGGAAGTTGTATGTAGACGGAACGTTCAGTCTAGCCCCCAGCTATTCTCTCAGTTGTTCGTGATCTTAGCCGAGCGACCAGGCTGCGTCGTGCCGATCGCCTTCGTTCCACTCCCAAACAAGACCGAGGACGTATACTGCAAGCTAAATTGAAGAATAGATCGCAGAGCTTGTGTTACGTATCATGCCGGAGATATACCGACGGGATATCCGATCGTATGCCGCATAGTAATCGATTCCATTCATTCAAGATGTTGGATATGATCAGACTCGGATTGCCGGACCTGAGCCCGGAGGCGATTTCCATGGATTACGAAAAAGCACTCATGAACGCTTTCGGGGCCTATTTCCCAAACGCAGAGATACATGGATGCTTCTTCCATTTGGTCCAGAACCTCAAAAAACGTGTGGCATCGTGCGGGCTCGACAGAAGATATCGGAACGAGTCCGACTTCGCGCTGGGAGTATGAATGATTTCCGCGATGGCATTCTTACCACCAAATCGCCTGGAAGAAGCCCTCCGTGACCTCAGGGACGAGCTACCGGAAGAGCTGCAGCCGGTTCTCGACTATTTTGAGGACACATACATGGGGAGGCTGCAGATAAAGACCGATGGAACCATGGGACGCCGGGAAGCCATTTTTCCAGTCCACATGTGGAGTGTCCATGAACGTACGCTCAATGATGACTCCCTCTGACAGAACGAACAATTTTGTGGAAGCGTTTCACCGGAGTCTCCAGCGTCAGTTCGCAGCGGACCACCCTGGGCTGTTGAAGTTCATTGATGGTTTGAGGAAAGCGCAGGTGCACAAGGACGCCCAGCTAGAACGTTACGTCGCCGGATGCGCGGCTGCGGAAAAACGGAACCGGTATCTCCAGAACGATCAGCGCATCCTGAGGATTATGAATCGACGTGATTCTTATACGCTCATTGAATTACTCCGCGGAATCGCTCATACCTACGAGATGAATCCATAGTGACCGCGACAAAATCGTTCCCTTGTGAAAACTTGATTTCATTGTAATTTTAATTTGTGTAATATGATCTTATGGAATTGATCGTGAGATAGTGCTCACATGTTAAGTAAATGGGAAAAGATGGATAGCGGAGCGAAAGATAGGAATACATATAGTCTGATGAAATCGATCGAGGGTTACGTGACTCGAATGAATTGATTGTTGCTACTTAATACCCGCAGATATGCAGTTCTGAAAATTTTATCGATTGTGATAGTCGCAAGCTGACGCGGAGGGAATAAAACCCTCTCGAACGAGTACGAAGTTGATATGAGTTCGAAGGCTTCGACGGTTGCGTC